TAGGAAACCACAGAACACGGCTCTTAGGTTTCTTGGGGAGAAGGCTGTCAGCCTAGAATTCTTTATTCAAGCAAACTATTACTCAAGCATGAAAGGAAACATTGTCAGACTTACGAGGACTAAAAAAAATACACCATGGCTGGGTGGTGTGGCACATGCCTGTAATCCCAGCATTCTGGAGGCTGAGGCAGGAGGTTTGTAAATTCAAGCCCAGCCTGAGTAACTTATCAACTTAGGGAGACCCTATCTCAAAATTTTTTTTTAATTTTTAAAGGGCCGGGATTTTGCTTAGTGCTAAGGTCCCTGGGTTTAAGCCCCAGTATAGAACAGTATACAACCCCCAATATACAAACCTCCTTTTCTGAAAAAATTATTCAAGAAAGCTCTCCAGGGCCAGGGATGTAACTCAGCAGTGCTGTGCCTGCCTGGCAAGCACAAGGTCTTGAGTTCGATCCCCAGTACTGAGAAAAAAAAAAAAGAAAGAAAGAAAGAAAAGAAAACTCTCCAGACAAAAGCAAAAGCCCAGGAGTCAAAGACGAAATATTGTGGTAGAGAGATCAGCAAACAATGAAGGCAGAACTTTTACAGGCTTAACAAATGGTAGTGTAATAGAGAGTTAAAGGCAATTTTAAATAAATGATTCTTACAACACAGTAGAACTAATGTTTACAAATGGTAACAATCAGAAACTGAAATTCCAGACGATCCCAACAGGGCCTAGGAGGTATAGAGGAGAGCAAGAGAAATGCTCATTATGGGTTGTAGGAGGTGAGGACAAACTATTATAGATTTGGTGCAATGCCTGCTACTGAAATGTGCATGTGAGAAGGGCTGGTAAAACTACCAGCCAATTAGAATTAGGATATATAGTTCAAGAATATTTCACAAAAGAAAAATGAGGATTAATCTTGTTATTTTCACCACATAATATGAAGCTATAGCAACTAAGTCTTGACCTGGTATAAAAATAGGTTAATGAAGGGGACAAGAGGGTTCAAAACCAACACCTATATATGGAAATTTGGTCTATTATAAGTGAAAAAAAAAAAAAAGAATGGTTCATAACATGGGGTTGGAAAACCTGGTCAACTATTTGGAGAGAAAAAGTAATGAGAGTTCTAAGCACTAAATTAATAGCAGATGAATTAAAAATATAAATGCAAAGAGAAAAAAGTATCCAAATAAAATGTTCCTTACAACCTCAGAGTAGGAAAGGGCTTAGAAAGTATAGGCCATTCCCTCAGGGGAAAAAAAGACTTAATAATCAAAAAACTTATCAAAAATGGTTAATATTTCTACTCAGGAGGCTGAGGCAGGAGGATGAGTGAAGCCAACTTACATAACCCAGCAAGATCTTGTCTCAAAAAAGTTAAAATTTATGTAATCCCAGCACTAGGAAATCTGAGGCAGGAGAATTGCCATGAGTTCAAGGCCAGCCTGGGCTACAAAGTGAGTTTAAGGCCAGCCTGAACTACATAGTGAGATCCTGCCTCAAAAAAAAAAAAAAAAGGTTAAAATTTAAATGATAAGCAACAGTATAAGTTAAAAAGATAAATAATAAACTGAGAAAATATTTATAACTAATATAATAAGCAAATGGTTAATTTTCTAACCACATAAAGAGCTCTTACAAGCCAGGTGTGGTGGCAAACACCTAGAATCCCAACACTTGGGAGGCTAAAGCAGGAAGATCACAAATTTATGGACAACCTGACTATTTAGCAAGATCTTGTCCCAAATCCCTACTCCCCCCGGCAAAAAAACCTATTACAAATAGGAAAACTACATAAATGTTATGAACTGACAAGCCAAAGAAGAAACACATAGAAGAAATACATATAAGTATATGAAGACAGAAGGAGAAACTAATAAATATAGAAAGCCCCAACCTCATCAATTTTCACTTCTCATCCCAACCAATAATCAAAAGAGAATTGCCATCCCGCAATAGGTACTATAGTAAGATGTCAGTAGAAATGTAAACCGTACATCATGTCACCTCTCTGTTCTTTAGTTTTTTCATGTATAAAATGGGGATAATAGCAATAGTGTTGGGTAGACTGCATGTGTCAACAGAAGGAAAGCACTGTGGAACACTGGGTAGTGTGTGTCGCACTCTGCCCCACAGAAAAGTGCAGCAAGACAGGACATTCTCATTAGGGTTATTGCAATGTGACTCAACAATATCAAAAATCAGTATGAACAACCTGACTACATCACTGATAAATTATGATTAATTAGTTACTAAAGATAGAGAGAACTTTAGATGTTAATGTGAAAAATTTCTATAATGTATTAAATTTTATAAGGGCCAGGGATTTAGCTCAGTGGCACTATGCCTGCCTGGTAAGCGTAAGGTCCTGAGTTCAATCCCTGGTACCAAAAAAAAAAAAAAGTTTTATATATGAGTTACAGAAACTTATTTATAATATGATACTATTTAGTAAACTAAAATGTGCATGAAAATAGATTTGAAGGAATTACACCAAACTATCAGTGGCTACTGATGGGAAAAAAAGGCTGGAGGAATGAGGGATTTTCTTGAATTTATTAGTTCTGTAAGGTTAGCTTTTTGCTGTGTGTGGTTTTTGGCTGTGTGTGTGTGTGTGTGTGTGTGTGTGTGTGCTTGTTTTTGCAGTGCTAGGGATCAAACCAGTTTCCCTCATACTAAGCAAGCACTGCACTACTGAGCTACATACACCCCAGCCCAAGTTCAGAATTTTTTGTACAAGTTCGGTACAAATATATTATTAATTAAAGGACCTATGTAATGCTAAATAAATAAATATTCCCACTCATAAGAATAAAAATATATAGGCCGGGGATTTAGCTCAGTGGTTTCGCCGCCTGCTGTGCAAGCGCAAGGACCCGAGTTCAATCCCTGGTACCAAAAAAAAGAATAAAAATATATATTCCCTCAAAAAATGCAAACCTCACATGAAACTTTCCCTAAAATCTTTACCTGGAAAATCTTTTTTTAAAAAAAGACTGGCATAATTGAAGAGGTATAATCCTATTCCCAGGTGAAAAGATTGTATTGTTTTTAGTACCTCTATTTTACGTATATTTTTAAATTTCAATAAAAATCCTAAAGGGAATTTTGAGGAGGGGCAGGGAAGAGGTGGGGACTAAATTACAAAATTATAATAAAATGTATACAGGGGTCAGGGATGTAGCTCAGTGATAGAGCATTTACCTATCAGGTGTGAGGCCCTGAGTTCAACCCCAGCGCTGAAAAAAATCACATACAGAGAATTTCATTTAAAAGAACTAATATGTAAGAATAGGAGAGAAAACAATTTTAAAAGAAGAGTAATGAGAGAGTAGTTGCCCTAAGATAATGTACAAGCATTGGGCCAAATAATCGGGAAAAATGAAAAATATTCTGTCTCAGACTATACCCCAAAGTAAATTCCACATAGCTTAAAATGTTAAAAGTTGAAGAATAAAACCATAAATTTTAAAGAGAAAAATACTATATAATCCTGGGGTGAATACCACAGCACCAAAGCAAAAACAGTTATTTAAATTTATAGATACAATATTAATCATTCAGAAAAGGGGATTCAAAATCACAGCTACTACTTCACACCCATTAAAATGCCTATAATTTTTAAAAATGGAAAAATAATACTTATTAGCAAGAATGTGTAGAGTTTGGAATCCTGATTCACTGACGGTAGGAAACTATACATTCACTTTGAGAAATAGTGTGGTAGTCCCTCAAAAGTTCAACACAGATACCATTTGATCTAGAAATTTCACTCCTAGGTATATACCTAAAAGAACTGAAAACATATGTTGCACACAAATATTTATGGCAGTATTATTCATAATAGCCAAACAGTGGAAATGACCCAAGTGTTCATCAACTGATGAATGGTTAAACAATATGTGGTACATCCACAAAATGAAATATTATTCAGCTGTGAAAGGGAAATGATACATCTATAACATGGATGAACCTGAAAACATTATATGCTAAATACAAAAAGTCAGTCCCCGAAGATCAAATATATGATTCTATTTATACAAAATGTCCAATATAGGCAAATCTACAGAGAAATAAGGTGTTGCATAGGACTGGAAAAGATGGGGAAATTAGTAAGTGATAGCTGAAGGTTATAATTTCTTCAAGATAATAAAATTTTCTAATATTAATTGTGGTATTCATTGTAAAAGTCTGAATATGTTAAAACCCATACACTTTAAATGGGTGAATTGTATGATATTTGAATTATAACTCAATAAAACTGTTACCAAAACAATTTATAGATACCACTAGATACAAATCAGAATCACCTGTCATTTAAAGAAGTAATAAAAATAAAAGGCCAGCATAAAAACTTCCTTACCATATAAAGAGCTTTTGTGAATGGATAATTAAACAGCCTCATAAGAAAATGGACAAAAGACTTGAACAGGCTCAAAGAGGTGAAATTAGGGACTGAAAGGCAGATAAGCAAAGGTTCCACATCTCTGGTAAAACCTATTAAAAAAGTAAAAACACACAGTGCTGTGGAGGGTGCAGGGAAACAGATGTTCCCTTACTAAGACCTCTCCATTTCCCAGGAAGCAGGACTTTCAGTGCTAAAAAGAGAAAGACCAACTTAAGGCAAAGCAAAGTGAGCTGCTCTGTCTAAGCCAGGATTAGAAGTAGTACGGTCATTCTGAAGAACGATTCAGCAATGGATCCAGAATCCATTTTACAGATACACACCATCTGACCCAGAAATTCCACTACCAAGAATTTATTTCAACAAATTGTTCGTTCATTCAACAAATATTTATTGAACATAAAACATGGACCAGGTGTTGAATTGGATGCTGGGGATACTGAGATATAGCTGCAAGGATTTTTTTCTCCCCAGGTTTTTGTAAAAACACTGGAAACAACCTGAACATTGAACTACTGGAGATAATTTAAATAAAATATGTTTCATCTACACAATGAAATGCTCTGCAGCCAGAAGACATGGTGCTGCAGGCAGTAAATATGATGCCATGGAAGAATATTTATTGACAGGGAAACATGGATACACTACATTGCTAAAAGGAAAAAAGCAAGTTAGAAAACTGCACCAGTAACCCCATTTTACAAATAAGATACATATGAGTATAAACAACCTGATAAGATTCACCCCAAAATGTTATCTCTGGGTTCTGGAATTAGGGATAAACCTAATTTCCTTCTCCTGGCTCATCTGTATTAAATGTTTTCTTTATAATAAACACTATTACATCAATTACTTATGCAATGCAACAAAAAAGTCAACTGGATTTTAAAAATACCAGCGATAACTGCCAGGCTCTGAGGGAAGGAGACCCGCAGGAAGGAGGATACAGAGTCAGACACGTGTTCACCCCTTGATGTCTCGATGGTCGCTCCCATTTCTGAGAACTTATTCCCTGCCAGGCAGCTCGCTCGGCACAAGAGATAATGTGTGCAGTGGGGGTTCCCTCCTCGATTTACAGAAACCTCTCAGCTGAGGAGCGGCAGCGCTGCCCCAGCCCCTTAGCTGCCTCCGCCTGTTCCCCGGAGGGGCAAGAAATAGACCTGAGCCATGAGGCCCTCTCTCCTGCAGGCCGGTGCTGCGCTGGCCCCTATCCTGCCTTCCTGCAGATGGTGCGAGAGGCGTCAGGAGGACAAGTCAGCAAGGGAGGGGACTCAGCAAGAGGAAGGCATGGCGCTGAAGGCCAGCTGGCTGAGGTCAGGGCACAGGGTGAACTAGCCAGGGGACTCCTCGCCTGCCGGGCGACTCTCAGGAAGCCCAACCGCATCCGGCCCCAGGAGTTCCCAGGCACTCTGCACCCAGAGGCAATGAAGAAATCTACACAAGGCCTGAGGCCGCCCTCTGAAACAGCGGGAGGAAAATAGGCGCCTTGTGGGACCAGCTCCAGCCCAGTGACTGCTGGCCAGTCCTTTCCTCCCCTGTGTCTCTTGGTTGGTATGAGGAGGCGGGTGAGGGCTCCGAGACCCTCCCAGATCTGCATTCTGTAAATCTGTGGGTCTTCCTTACTTAGGGCCTGGCAGGAAGAGGAAGGGGGGAGACGTACCCACCCATCTCCCCAAGGAGCCCCCTCCTCTTCCCCTCAGCTCCGTCCTACTGCTGTTTTTAGAACACACAGCAGGGAGCGTTTCCACAAGTCCCACTGCGCTCCAAGCTCCAGGTAAAACATAGCAGCCCATTCATTCCACTCCAGCAAGAGTGAGCCAGGAATTTCTAGACAAGACAGCTGGCTAGACAACCTCTTCCTTCATTATTAGCTGAACTGGTTTCTCACTATTTCCATTACAGCCCAAAGTGGTAGCTTACGACACAGCACAGTAGGTTGCTGAGTGAGAGGAGGAGAATCATCTAAGGCCACCTGTGTCCCTTCCACACCCCCAACTTTCTGTCACCAACTCTGTGTCCTTGGCTAAGTTCTTGCCTCCCTCTGGTCTTAGTGTCTCTCAGACAAAGCTTTTCAGTTCGCACTCAAAGATTCTATGGTTCTACCAAATTTCTAGTTACTTAACATAAGTTACTTAACATAACTCTCTCTGCTCTTAGCTACATGTTGGATTTTGTTCCCGAAGTCTTCTGAGAGTTGATTACAGGGCTCAGAACACATTTTCCCATTGCAATTGCATCATAAACCGTGGCCAGTTTCCTAGGCAAACCTGCTTAACCCTCAATGTTCTTCCACCAAGACGAAAGGGTAGAAAAACTGTATTGCAATAATAGAATTAAACCAAAATGGAAAACCTCTAACATTTAAAAGATATCTTTTTAGAAAATGTATCTAGAATAGTGTTGTCTGCATAGTATAAGAGATGGGTGCCAAAGGCAATAAAAAATTCAATGGCAACTTCTGAGGGAGACGTCTAACCACTCTAGAAAGGAAAAATTAGTACATACTCTACTTGAAAATTAGCTTCATGCCATAAACTGGTAGTTGGAAAGGTTAGAGAGGGTCTCCACCTTTTCTCTATTCTGATCCTTATTGTTTTATCCTAATAGTTTGGGATCTGGTGATTCCTGGAGACCACCTGGCTCCTTCATTTTTCTTGGTAAGGAAGAAATGACCAGATATGTGAAGTTATTTGCCTGAGGTCACACAGTAAGTCTCTTGACCGCTCTTGCTTCAGAATCCTACTCTGATTTTCTGAGGGAAAAGGTTCAGTGAGAGGGGAACCCCAAAACCTGGAGAAGACAAACATAGCAACAGTTCTTATGAGACATCCTTTTCTCAGGGGATGCCCCATGTCAGTATGGGAATATGTTACCCATGACCCTGATGTGAACTTGGCCAGACTGCTTCATAAGCCAAGTGGGCAGATCCAGGCTTGCTGTGGCAACTGCAAAGCTATGGGGTGACAGAAAAAGCTCTCAGCCAAGAGAGTCAGCTGATCTGAGTTCTACTCCTGGTCTGATACTAACTTGGCCAGGTCAGTTCCCCTTTTAGATCCTGTTTCCTCATCTATATTCTAAATATAGGAGGGTTGAACTGAACAATCCAACTCAATTCTCCAACATGTACTGAGCACCTACTATGGACCAGGCAATAACAGAATGAAAGGCAAGTCAGACATGCCCTCCACTTGTTCCCAGGTAGCTCCCAGTCTTGCAGGCAGTGTATAAGGCATGCTCAAAAAATCCAGTAAGTGCTCAAATTTAAAAAAAAATTATTACAGTAAAAGACACTTTGCCATTAATCCCTTTCAGTTTGAACACAATTATCCCATCGTTTTTGCTATAGTCTGAAGCACTTCTGGAAGTCCTCTTTCGTGAGTGTCTTTAGTTATATTGTTGTGATTCCCTCAGTGCCCTGAATTGATTCCAAATGTTTACCTTTCATAGTCATATTGACTTTAGAGAAGAACCAAGTCACACAGTACCAGATCTGGAGAACGAACTGGATGAGGACATACCTTAATGTTTTTATAAGCCTGCCTTTCTATTGGATGGCACTTGGCAGCAACATTCACTGTATTTCTGATCAAACCTCATAAAGACATTCACAAAACAGAACTTCCAGAACTGCTTCAAAAATGGCAAGTGTGCTGAAGCAAGGGAGAATGTTTTGAGGGAGATTAATGACAATGTGTCTTTTACTGCAATAAATTTTAACTTAAATGTTCATTGATATTTTGATCACATCTTATATAATGCACACATAAGGACTTTTGACATCAAGCATACATGTGGAGTGTAATGAAGGGTTCTATTGGTATAGAACCCTGCTAACTCACAAGAGACCTGCTATTCCCATACTTTCCTTCTCAGCAGCCTGTCCTCCTTTCCTGGTACCTCCTCCCTACCCAACCTTGGACTTTCTGACTTGCCATCCTCCTTCTAGAAGAAAATTTCTGCTGCAGCACAAATAGTCCACCATATGCTTGGACTTTCCTTTGAGACACCTGTTCATTGTATATTTTGATCACTCTTTGTATATCTGCCTGACACACTATGCTAAGGATGAACAAAACCCTCTGGGAAAGCACAAGGGAAAGCAATGGCTTCTGATGTAGCCTAAGAAAGGTGTTCACCCTCCAAGTTTGAAGACTGCAGCTGGCAGGGACAGCAAAGATGGTCAGACAGAAGGAACAGCCTCCATATGAATGGGCACAGGGACTTTGGAGAAGATAAAATTGTTCTGTGTGGCCAGGCTTCAAGAGCAAAAGCAGAAGGGCAGAGTAACCAAGAGAGCCTGGAGAGCCAAGTGGAGACCTGGGCTTTATATAGAAGATCACACTTCCTGTGATGGCCTTTAGGTAGGAGTGTGACTTCCCAGCCTCCTCAGTCCCTCCCAGCAGTCAAACAGAAGAGTCAGGGCCATGCTCCCCTGGATTGCAATCCTAGCCACCCACCAGCTGCGTGACCTTAGGCAAGTTTATTAAATTCTCTAAGACTCATCTGTAAAATGAGTACAATGGGAGTAAATGTGTAACAGGATAATGAACCTCATAAGACTGGAGTGAGGATAAAAATAGACAATGTGTGTCAAAAGGTGGACTCCAGGCCTGGCTCACAACAAGTGCTCGTTAACTTACCTAGTGTTACCACTCTACCCTAAAGCAAAGATCTGGGGGCGGTTGGGATGGCAAGCAACCCTCTTCAGAGACAGGCTTGGGGAAAGAGAAGGACACGACAGAGTGAGGAGGGCTGTTCTCTGTTCCTTATGAGCAAAAAGAGCAAGACAGCAAAGAAGGCAGTCTACCCACAGCCAGACCAGCATCGAGGGAGAGAAGCAGGGAAGCTGGAGGCTGCCTGGAAAACAGTTGCGCTTGTTGGAGAAAAGAAGTTGCTCCTTCAGAGGGAGAGCTAAAATCCAATCCATTTGATTCTCAGTTACTTAGAGCTGAGATCTTAAGTCAGCCAATTAGCAAAATCTGGGCACAAAACCCTTCGGAGGGAGCCAGGGGCAGCAGGCTCTCAGCTGGACTCAGGTCAAAGCCTCTTGGTGCTGATGCTCAGATAGCCAGGCCTGAGCCCGAAGCTGTCCCTTTCTGCCTCTGACAACATTTCTGCATCAGCTGATCCTCTTGAATCCCAGACTCTAAAGGGGAAGAGCATAACCCAACCATTCCAGCACCCCTGGGAGCCCATCTTAGGAGCTCAGTCTCATCAGACTATTTTTACCTCTTGCAGGGAGCAGCTGATCTTTCCAGCCTGTGCCACCCCACAGGGAAATGAATACTAGAAGTTCTTCTCCACCAAGTGGAGAATAAGGAATCTCATTTTACTTGTCCAAAAAGTATTCCCTTTACAGCGAGGTGGGCCACCATTTCTGGTACCCACTAGTACCAGCCTCCTGGCTCTTTGTGGATGAAATGAATGACTTCTCTTACTTCTATTCCTAAAAGCAAAGCTTTACATCTAGAAAGAGTAATGGGTTAATCTGGAAGACCTGAGCTTAAGGACTAATTCAGCCACTTACCAGCTGTGTGACCTAGGATAAGTCATTTAATTTCTCAGAGTCTGGCCACTTTTGTCCCTAAAGTGAGGCTCCCAGCAGGCTTAGGGAAAATGACATCTGGGGACCCTGGCTGCCATCTCCAAAGTACATGCTGTGGGGTTCTCACTGTGAGGAACCCTCCCATATTGCAAAACTGCCTGCACCTCCCCTTTGCAGAACCTTCTTAATGCCTTGGTACCATGTGTGACAAATCAGGGCTTTGGTGGCAGAATTTAGGAGGAAAAAACCATTAAAATAAAGAGTTAAGAAAAAGACATACACAAATCAGTGTCATTATTTCCTAAAGGTCCATGGTGTCTCAACTCCTGAAGGGCCAAAAGACCCAGGCATGACAGCACAGAGGAGAGACAAGTGTTTCAAGAGACCCAGAGCCTGAGACGTAAGAACACATGAAAACAGGATCAGAGGGTGTGTGGGGAACTAAAAGGGCCACTTTGTATTCAAATTACACAGATGGCCTTTTTGACAATACATGGTTGTTCTCCCATCCTCCCAGCTCCTGGGTCCTGAGACACCAAACCAAGACAATTGGCCCATCAGGAAAGAGGCCATTGTGTGCTTCTTAGCATAATTTATGTGGTGGGGAGGGGCCCAACCATGTTTCCCGTGATTATGATTCTCACATGCAATTTCGATAGCTTGTTCATCATCTTGAACAGCTGGGATGGCCCAGGATGCTGCAGAGCAGTGGCCACCAGGCCATATTTCATCTTCATGAGCCCGTGGAGCCAAATTAAAAGTTGCATCGATTCACAAGGCAGAGCAGCAATGGCGCTGTGGCTCACCACAGTTGCTGGGCAAACCATCCCAAGGCCCAGCAAGAGCACACGTCCACTTCCCCACCGGCTGGCGGGCCTGGGACCTTGATGAGAGGGTATGGTCCACTCAGCAGAGTGTCAGGACAAACTGGGAGGAAAGTCCTGTCCCCAGGGCTGGCTGCTGTGTTCAGATTCTCCATTTCTCTGAGGCCAGAATGCCTGTGCTCTAAACCTATCTGTGAACAGAGACAGGTCAGACAAGTGTGCTGCCTTCCCAGACAGGCGATTCTCCCATGTCTCACATTCCCCTTAATGTCATTTTGTAAGAGAATCAAATGAAATCAAAGTGCAGCTTGCTGTCTCTGCAGACTCAGCTGCTCAGCTGCTCAGATTCACCCTTTGGGCCGAGCCCTGGCAGGCAGAGATGCTGTGAATCACTTCTCCCCGTCCAGGTAACATCTGTCTCCCCGCTAGGCAGGGGCATTAGCCTGGTCACCAGCAGAGCCATCCCGCCCCCTATTAGACAGTTGTACCAATATGTCTGATTTTTTCCTACATGGAAGGTAAGAAGCAGCCTCTCTTCTAGGGAAACGTTTTTGGTGTTCAGCTGGTCAAACTCACAAGGGCACAAAAACCATCTCTAAAGACACTGAGGTCTTACACAACATACAGCACGTCCATGGTTAGGGGCTTCTGAACCATCTCTCCACCTTCTCTGATCCCTTTTATTATGCAAATGACCCCATCATCTAGACTCCTTTTGTATGCAAATCATGTCTCTCTTCTGTAACTGTGTGTTTCCTTCCTTCTAGGTCTTAGCAGTTAGAAAAGGTAGAAGAGTGGCCCGACCCTGAGTTCTAGCTGGGGCTGCAGCAGGCAGCAAGTAGGCTGGGCTCTCATCCCTGGCCCTTGGTAGGTCTTCCTTTCACCTTGTGGCAGGATGCTCTCTGCAAGAGTTGCTGAGCCACACCCAGCCCTGATCCCTGACCCTTAGGAGCCCCAAAGGAAGAAAACCAAGTGTGTTGTCAGAGCACTGAGTTCCAGCTCCCCATCAGATATCCCAGCACAGGATGGAGAGGTAACAGGCAACGCCTACAGAGGCCTGGGGACGAAGCTGAATACTAAGCACCTACAACTCCAAGGACTCTCCCTAAACTCAGTACTGGTCCCTAGCTCAGGCCTGGCCAGAAGCATCTCTGTGAGGAGGGCCCCAAATCTCATTCACAAGACCAGGTGGAGGATGAGGGCAGTGGCAGAGTAGAGGAGGGAATCCATCTCTTCTCATCCCAGAGTCTGGCATTCACATGTCTAATACCCAGTCACTCTCCAGCATAAGGCACCATCACCCCATAGGTGAAGAACTGAGGGGGGATCCCTAACTGGCCCCATGCCCACCTGGTCCCCTCCTATCTGCCTTCAGATTTTGTAGAAATGTTCCTGAGATTGTGTCACTCCCTCAAAGGCCTTCCATGGCTCCCTACTTCATCTAGAATGAGATCCATAAAATATTCACCACCTGAGGCTTACACAACCTGGCCTTCCTTCCTTCCTCCTCACTAGGCTGTAGCCACACTGGCCTCTCCTAGCTCCTCCAGCACACCAAGCTCCTTCCCATCCCAGGAACTCTTGCATGCTGTTCCATCTACCTGGAACACTTTCTCCCAAGTCCTTGGCTGGCTTGCTCCTTTCCAGCCCATTGGTCTCAATTTACAAGCTATGTCCTTCCTTAGCTGCACCCCTACAAGGAGCAATCTAGATACAATGTCCTCTAAAGGCATTTGCTCTGTTCCTGCACAACCTCTCCCAGGGTGTGATCACATGTGTGCTGCTGTTGATTTATTTAATGCTCACTCCCTACTAGGACTGGAATCTTGATGACAGCAGAAGCCATGCCCATTTGGTTCTCCAAAGTATCCCCCAAGTTCCTAGCACAGAGTCTACCACCAGAGAGATCCCCCCAAATATCCACTGAATGAACAAATGAATGTGTCCCAGAGTGAGTGAATGGGTGGAGATGTCTTCGGGCCACGCAGGTCATGGCACTGTTCACCATTGGGGTGACCTTTCCCAATCTCCTGCTGCCCCCAAGGTGGGTGCCCAGATGCCATTTAGCCTCCTTCTCCTTGGAGGGAACAAGCTTCTGAGTCTTCTTCATCAGGAACTTCCTGTTGCCAGTCTGCACATGCCCATAGGGCTTCTCCTGTTGCCAGTCCACACACACCCTCAGGACCACTCCCTGAAGATGACCCTAGGCCCACCATCTTGGTTCTCCATTTTGGGTCCAGTTGAGGTGAGGTTACTGTGTGGTAAGGGATGCCCCCATAAAGGGTTAAGTTGCCAGAAGCAGAGTCCCGCCCTTGGGTTTGCTCAGCCAATCAGAGTCTGTCCTGATGAGGTAAAGCTTCTATCCTGGGTAGCATTGGTGGAGTTGCCCGGCCCCATCTCCTGCTGGAGAGAGCCGTAAGGGTGGAGTTTCTGTGGAACCAGACAGAACTGGAATTAGCTTGCTGTCTACTCAGGCAAGGGCTGCCTGACTCCAAGACCTGCCTCTGTTCTTTTTTAAGGCACTCAGTACCTGGAATTTCTGAGGCCCGTCTCTAGCTGTCAGAGAGGAGAAGACAAGGTGCCACACACCTTAGCATCTCATCTAGGAGAAGTCTCATCACCAGGGCAGACCCAGGAGGCCTCAGCTTCCCGGCTTGGGCCCTGGAATCCAGCAGGTAGCTACCAGGAAGTGGCATGGAGCAGTCGTCAGATGTGCTCAAAGCACCAGCATCAGCTTCCATAAACAAGGACACCAGATGACTCTTCCTCTACAGACATCACTTACAATGCGATGACAGAATGAAAGCAGCAGCTAGCTCCCAGAGGTCTTCTCGCGAACCACTCTGCCCAGCACATTACAAGTATAATCACAAGAACCCTCTTGATCCACCCGCTTCACTGATGAAACACCTGAGTCTCAGACAAGCCAGGTGGCTCACCTGAGGTCACATCACTAACAGGTTGTTTTGAACTAACTGTTGCCATATTTGTCTCCATGACTACACTGTGATCTCCTGAGCACAGAGTGTGACAGATTCCTCTGTACATTCCCACCACAGATCCTGAGGCACCCGGAGCCTACCCTGAGGATGGGGCCAGTTGGGCTGCATCACACCCCACTCCTTGCTTACACCTGAGGGCTGGGCGCTTAAAAGGCTTCCTGGAGCCTAGTCCAGCCTGTGTGCATGGAGCTGCACAGCAGGAGGCTCACTGAATGACACCTGGGACCTGCCCCACCAGTCCATTCTCAGATCTGCGGACATGGCCTTTAATGCTTGGGTCGCCATCCTGATGCCTTCATCATCTCACCCCATTAGGAGAACTCTGTAAGGACGGAGACCAAGTTTCATTCGTCAGGTGACCCCCAAAGGACCTAAACCAATTAGGGGAGAATGCATTCTTTGTGTATATTTGATTGGGTCACCAAAATAATATTTATCTGCCTCTCTCTACCAGCTTGGAACCTCACTGACCACAGGGGAACCAGCTCTGAATTTATCTAAATGAGAAGCTTCCTAGCGGTGCTGGGAGTTTAGTGCAGGGAGCATAGTACAAGTTATCTAGGACGAAGACAAAACAGTGGTGTGCGAGACCCTATCCCCATCCCAAAGGAAGCACATATCACAAAAGTCAAGTCATGCAAAACTCTTCAGCGTATGGTTTCCTGATGGAGACTGGATGGCCCAAGGCTCTCAGCTTTCATAAACCCAAAGCCTGAAAAACTGGAAAGAGCTACCTGACCAGTGCTAATGGGACCAACTGAGGCTACGGTAGGAAGTGGTTGCCAAAGATCACATCACAGATAATGACACTCAGACCCTTCTGTTGTTCTTTGAACCCATCTTTCTCTATTTCCTCCATCCTCCCCAATAACCATCTATGTCATTTTCAGGGCAAGTTGCATTCATACAGCTTGTGAATTTGAGAAAAGCTTTCCCATCCTTGACATGGCATAGAATACCCCATCTCAAGGATTAGCACCACTGTTGAAAGGAGTAGGGTCTGGGGAGTTGCCTCATGAACCTCTCTTTCCCTGGGGGGTATTTAAGTGGGCGAGTGCTTAGGCAGCAGTTCCTTGTCCTAAAGGAGGTGAAGCATTCCCCAAGGAGCGCAGGGAGGAATGATAGGCACATGGCTCAGCCAGTACTCAAGGCATCCCTCAAGCAGAACCTTTATGCCTGGAAAACGAGAGCTCTCTGAGCTCTGCGAGGCCTTCCTCTGGTCCCTTGGAGGACAGTGATGAAGGTGCATGGTCACCCCGAGACGGAGCACAGGTGAATGAAGGAGGTTCACGATCACCCTGAAGCTGAGCAAAAGTGGATGAAAAGGTAAGCAGGCTGGGCAGCCACCTGGGCCTACTCACTAAAGTTACTAAAGTATTCCTGGACTGATAAATGGCTGGAGAGCTATATTTACTGGAACTTCTCTTAAGAAGAGTTCTGTAAGTAATTGGAAGGAATAAATTGCTAATACTCTAAGTGAATATGGAGGAGGTGGGGATGGGGAAGACTGAGTGATAAGATTCCCCCAGCTACATAACTGCCGTGTAAGGAGGGTGGGCCGAGGGAGCATGCAAGGTGGGGCAGCTCAGTCTCAGGCCCTGGAGGTGGTTCTGAGGCTGTCCCAGCAGTTAGGCCCTGCTTTGCTTTCTCCTACCCAGCAAACAACCTCTCCACTAACCTCATGTTTGAAGAATTTGTGCGACGGGGTGTCCAAACTGTTGCCGGCCCAGAATGCCCACATAACTTAGTGTGGCCCTGAAGCCAGGTACCCAACCCTGGAGCCTTTCCAGGGTCACCCAGGCACATCTGCAGCTCTCCAGGGCCCAGAGCCTGTCTCAGACCCACCTGCCCCCAGGCCACCACCGCCTCCTGTCCCTCGGATAGACAGTCTCCTAGGCACTGCAAGGCTGTGGCCAACATCTCGAGGGCCAGTGAACTCTGAAGCCCAGGCACGAAGAACTCTTTCCCTCAAAACAGAAGAACGAAACCCAAAGAAAAGAAAGCGGGCAGTGAGACGGGGCTGGCACATGTTCAGACATTTGATGTCCCAGGAGCTGCCCCAGTGAAGGGAGAGCAGCCTGGACTCTGAGGGCGGCCAACTCCAGATATATGGGGCAAGGGAGCCTGTAGCCATGGTGACAGGTCTTTGCACAGAAGAGAAGCCTGACAGTGGGTCTAGCCAATGTCCCCCGGGTAGTTGGTAGGGGCACTGTATATCCCGTAGCTTGGTTGAGTGAGCCTACTGCTTGCCAGGCTCTGTGCTATGAGTGATACACGCATCTTCTCCTGTAATTCTTACAACTCTTTGGGGGAGGAACTAACATCCCCAAATTAGAAAGAACAGAGCAGTAGAGTGACTTGCCCAAGGTCACACTGCCAGTCAGCCGCAAAGTTTTACTCAAGGGTCCCACTGTCTTCCCTCATCCTTGCCCCTGACCAGTGTAACACAAGTTAACTTTCAACTCTGGGATGCTGTGACCCTGAGTTTCAGTCCTTTCTCAATTTACTGGGGAGCTGCAGGAGAGACTGGTAGCCACCTGTTCCCCACCTCCCATCGAATGCCCCCTCCAAAGCCTGGGCACATGACACACTGGGCCTGACACACTGAGAGGCAACAAGGACAGCAACTCCCTCTCATTTCCTTCCTTCCCCCAGATCTGGCAAAACAACCTCCTTGACAACTTCTGTAGCAACCGCACCAAAACCCCCATGGCCAACGCTTTTGACAAGAAAAGGTGCGTGAACTCTCAGAAATGGGAGCCTGACTTGTGGCAGCCATTGGGATGTCAAAGATCTACTTCCCATCCCATTGCCCTCCCTAGCCACTGAGCAGTACCCAGCCCACATCAGCCCCTCCCCCGGCAGTCTCTAATCTTCCCTGATACTCCAGCTGGCTAGTCCCAGCCCCCAGCAGTCCAAATGTGGCTCCACTTGGTTCTGACCTACATTGAACTATGACAGGTTCTGCTGCAAACAGGCCCTCAATTACATCTGCCTTGAGCCAGTGTCAAACACCCGTGTGCTGGCCCCGGGCATAGCCTCCCCAATAACAGAAGGGGGCTGCCTGCCAGGCAGCAGCAGAGAGGCCAGCCCAAATTAAACCTTGCCATAGGGAAACCAAAGAGCAGAGCCTAGAATTGATGAGGCATGGTCAATTTGGCTCTGTTGCTCTACCCAAGCATTGTCAAACCCACTCAACAGACCTGAGGAAAAGCCCAGGGGGAGAAACCTTGGGGCACAGGCCCCTTGCCAGAAGCTCGTTGCCCAGCTCCACAGGCTGAGCTTGAGCTGACCCTTAGCTCAGTTGGGAGGCTCAAAGGCCAGGCTGGGGAAGCAAGGCAGCAAGAGCGACAGCCGACAGCCACTGGCAAGGACCTTACCTTCCTCTCGGGAGGTGAGGCTGCCAGCTGTTGCTGCTTCGCGATGTTCTCCGACAGGCACCAGCACACTCTCTTCTTCTGCTCCTGTGAGTGTGCCTCCAAAGTGAATAAGCACTCTGCCTTCTGACGTCAGGGAAAACAGAGAAAGGGAAGGTCAGGGCTGCTCAGATTGAGGGGCTCCTGGGCCCAAGCCCATCCCCGGGCTCTTGAGGGCGAGGCTGTAACAGGGAAGGGTGCGTCCACTAAGAGCCATAAATGCACACTAATCCCAGGTGACATAGAGGCAGCCAGAGCAGCAGGGGACTGGTTGGGGGCCAGCTAGGGAGCCATGGGACCACAGGTTGGGGGAGGGGAGGGAGGAAGTGGCTCCCTGCACAGTAGAAGCCTGTGGAGAGCTCAGGCCAGAGATGGTGAGGTCACCCCCGGCCAGCAGCATAGGGCCACAGCTGGGGAGCTTGGGAGAACCCAGAGTGCCAAGGCTTCCAGCTGATGTTCTATGGACCCAGGACCTTCCCACGGCTCACAGAACCCCTCTCCCTCTCAGCACACTCCTGGGATCACAAGGTCAAGGTTAGATGAGTTGAATGGACACACTAACAGGACCAAAGCAACAACTCAAGTTCCTTCCAAACATGCTGGGAGGCAGTCGTGTGCCCCTCTGCAGCCCACCACTGCCTGCCACATGAGCAGGGTCTCATCAATGACCATTCACCCCCATTGAGTGCAGCAATATCTCTGGCACAGCTGTCATTTAAAGGCCACCAACTAGACTAGAAACTCCCTCTAGGAGGCCCATGCACCACGAATGTAAGTGCTAGCCTCAGAAAGCTCTGGCTGCTGGAGGAACTTCAGGGATGCGAGGTCAAACCTAGGCCAGCGCTGGCACAGTACCAGGGAGTGGGCCCCTTGGGCAATCAGGACATGCAGTGGGCAGGCAGGGCGGGGCCAGAAGCCCAGGGTTACCAACCCCCACCAGGCACTCAGATCAGGGGATGACAAGCTCTTTCTGGCTCCAAAGAATTTGATTATAACCTCACAGGGCTGCTATTCATGAGCTCAGCCAGGGAACGAACAGCACAAGCCGGAGGGCTTAGACAGAGAAAAAGACCTGGTTCCTATGAGTCCTGCCTCCTTTTGCAGTTAGACAGACTTTGCCACTTCCTAGCTCTCAACCTTGGGAGCTTTCTGTAAAGTGGGATTGATAATGACGTCACCTACATCCCAGAGCCATTAGTAGGACAAGCAATGAGGACAATCCCAGGAGCTCTGCACACAGTAGCTATTGTTATTATTCAGCAATTTGTTCATTTAGTAAATGTTTACTGCACATGCACTATGTGTAATAGACTACGCAACGCAGGGCATAAAGAGGTAAAAAGACTAAGCCCTTGCCTTTAGGCTGGGGGGGAGGATAAACAATTAATTAAACAATATTACAAATTGTGAAAATGTCACCAGGTCACAAAGGGGGAGGTTGAGATAGTCAGAGAAGAACTCTGAGAAGGACTGACACTTGAACTAAGGCCTGAATGACAGAGGGAGACTGGAGGAAAGTGGATGTGGCAGGTGCGGTGGTGCATACTTCTGATCCCAGCTACTCGGGAGGCTAGGGCAGGAAGATGGAAAATTCCAGGCCAGCCTGGGAAACTTAGAGAGACCCTGTCTCAAAATAAAATAAAAAGGCCTGGGGGTACAGCTCAGTGTTCCTTGGGTTCAATGCTCAGAATCCTGATACCAAAAGAAAACAAAGAAAAGAAAAAAAAAGGAAAGAGCTTGGGAGCTGTTCCCAGCAGAAAGGATAGCAAACAAACACCTGCGCTAGGAAGTTCTTCACATCATCTAATAGAACATTTGGGAAATTTTTCTACCCTACATCCAAGTGTCAGGAGTGTCAAACGGGGCCACCTCCCATGCTGTGTCCCCTGGGTGCTAGCCTCTCCTGTGGGAAAAGTACTCAGAAGCTCATCTTCCCAAAAGCCTGGGAGGAGAGGGGAAGAACACCCTACCTGCTACAGGCCTCTGGGCACTGGGTGGGGACATGAGGCAATCCTGCCTCTTCCACTGAGGCTCCCTGATTCCAGAACCTTCCCACTCACTGCAGGGGAAAGTGTAGGATGCCACCCAGCAAAAGATCCCAAGATTCCGCAGGGAAAGCCCAGTAGAGCAGGCACTGTCCGGAAAATCCTCTGCTTCCAGTTTCATGGTGGCCCTGGTGACGGGAAGGGTAGGAGGGGACTGTGCTCCCTTGCAGTTTGGAAAGGCCCTCATTTCACAAGGCTGGCCCTGCCTTGAGTCTCCCAGCAATGGTTTCAATCAGCCCTGTAGGCTGCAGCAAATTCCTCAATCTCTCTCAGCCTCAGTGGCTTCTTTAGCTCTGAAGCAGGAATTCTGCCTTAATAATAATCCTTTTTATCCAGTTATCAATTTTCAAAAGTGCTTTTCCATCCATGATCTCATTTTAATCTTGACAATTCCTTGAAGAGGTAGGGAGGGCGTGGATTGTTGTTCCTATTTTATACAAGAGGAAAATCAAGGCTCAGAATGGAAGGGCCTCCCTGAATCTCAGGGCCAATGAGCCCAGAGGGAAGACTCCAAGCCTTACAGAACTGCTTGCTGGGATTTTATCTCCAGAACCTGGGGAGGCTTCCTGGGGTGGCCACACTCTCGGCTGACAGGACTGCTATCTTGCAGACACGTCCTGGAGGCAACCAGAGCACCAAGCCAACAGAAGAAATCTTAGGCCTTTTGTTTGCTAAGCAGCTCAGCGGTCACTGGTAGCTTTTTGTACAACTGCAACAGTCCCCACCCTACAAAAGTGTGAGAAAGTCTCCCCAGGGATGCTTTCATAGCAACCCAGCTACATACTCCTAATCCTGAGATAGGCCCTTACACTCCATGGCCCTCACAGTACCAAGCACTTTATCAGCGGTGCCTTGGTATTTCTTCCAACAACCTTTGTGATTATTCTGTTTTGCTGACACCCATAAGAACCACACCTTTGGTCAGCCATGTTGCTCTGCCCAGAGTGGCAACCAGATCATCTGTAATGGTTAAGTAAGATTCTAAAGACATTGAGGCCAAAGCTTCCTTTGAAAGCCACATTTTCCCAATCAGGGGTGGAAACCACATTGCCTGTCTCCACAGGAGACTGCAGGACTGGATCTCTGGCTCTGAGGGCTTAGAGCTGAAAACCTCAGAATGCTACAGGACCCAGAAGACTTCTAGGCCAAAGGACTTAAATCCAGACCTAGCCTAGGGTGGGCAGCTGGCTGTCATAGATGGACAAACATTTTTAGGAGCCAGAGCTTTGAAGATTGGCCTGGCCAAAAGAGGAAGAGCACTGAGCCAGCTCCTTGCAGGGAGGCTGAATTCCCATCCCTTTGAATCTGTCAAAATTGGGAGGGCCTCATTTCCTATCTGGGTTCTCCCACAGAGGAACCACTTCGCTCAGACCATCTTGCTGATTTTAACACTGACTTGTACTGTGCCCTTATCATCAGGCTTCATAGCCAAGGCTGTCCCGAAGGCATTGTCACAAATGCTTTCAAACACCACACCTAGCTCAGGGTAGTCAACCACGTACAGACCCCTCAGCTGCACAAGCCCCATCTAACAGCACTCAAATCCAGTGGACATCCAGCTCCTCTTGGCCTCTCCACAACTTCCACGTTGCCTAACCTCCTTGCTCCTGGTTTTATCTTTATAAATCCCCTTCAGCTGTGACTGTAGTGTGTCCATTTGCTATGACAAGCATGCCCTCATTCAGTTCAGTTCTCCTGATGATGCATGCCCTGACATGGGTAGGAAGGAATAGTCTAGCTGTTCACTCTTGTGCAGATAATCAAACTGAGACTCGGAGGGGTTAAGTCATACAGAGATTCACAGCTGTCTTCTGCCTCTTCCAGAGCCTGTGATCTTGCTGTATCTGTGTAACTGTGTATGTGCATTACAAAGAATGTGAGACATTCTTCCTGATTTTTTTAAAAGATCAATAAATCATTTGTGAATGCCTCTAATGGAGGGTAAATGAATACGAAAAGCCCTTCCTCCTGCCATGAAGCTGGCAATAACAATAATAGCTTCCATTCACTGAGCACTGTGTGCCAGGATCTGTGCTAAGAGCTTGGAGGCAGTGTCTTATTGAATCTCATTTAATCATTACAACAACCCTGCGTGGTCAGCCTCAATGCCTTGTGTCAGAGAAGAGAGTATACCTTGTCCCCAGATCATTCAGGAAATGGCAGAGCCAAGATTCAAATCTAGATCTTCCTAACTCCAAAGCCACACCTTTAAATAAATGGAGCCAGCGTTAGATTCTAGGTGACCAAATGGTCACTTACCAATGTGTCCATTGACCCAATGCCCTGAGTGCTCCAAAGCCAGTCATGGGCTGCCTCTGTCTCATGATTTGCAAGGGCTGAGGGACACCTATCCAGGCAACTAGGAACCCAGAGCCAAGGACGGCTTAGGGCAACCCCGCCCAGGACCTGGCAGCTGGGAATAATCAGAGCTGCTATCACCCAGGCAACTGGAACCTTCTCAATGCAGAGTGAAAAACCTCCTCAAACCCTGTCTCTTCCCCCTGGTTTCTTCTTGGGGTATTCCTGAATGTCAGGTAATAAAAAAAAAATCCACCTATCAGAAGTTCTAAGTAAGATGTGCATTTGAGAATCTCCATGGGCTCCAAGCCCACCCATATCAAAGTATACCAGGCTACGGAGCAGGCAGGCAGCTTGTCTTCCCTGCCTCTCAGCAGCCCATCAGAAGGAGAGAGAGGCTTCTGGCTGCCTGTGAGTTTCAACCTCCCAGCCCCTCAGGGTCAGATCACCTGGCACTTTACTGAAGTAAAAGGCTCCAAATCAATACCCCTCATCAATCTTTGGACAGCCAGGAGGTCACAGATCCAATGGAGCAGAAGTGCTTTTCTCTAGGAAAAACAAACCCAACCTGGCAGGAAGCTCTCTTGGCATTAAAGAAGTCAGAGTCTCATTTCAGAGGCTGAGGAGAGAACTGGAAGCCAGAGTGGAGGCTCCAGAGGGGTGGGGGAGCCCAGCCCAGTTCACAGCTTCTCTAGACTGCACCCTGCTCTTGGCTCTGTGGAACCAGACGCTGCCAGCACTGAAGTGACACCACTGGCCACTCCCTATGCCCTGGCCAGATCCAGCTGGCACAGGGGAGGACATCCGGTGCCCTCAGGTCTGCATTCCAGGTAGCTGAGTCCCCAGCTCTTCCCTGACAATGTCCACTGCCTCTTTGGAGCCCTCAGCTTCCCCAAAGGGAACTTCGCAGTAAGCGTCTGTTCACTCACCCCAGGCCTTGTGCCTCTTATTTGCCAAGAATTGAAAACAGAAGAAACAATTTTCTCCCTACCTCACTCCCCACTAGGGATTGAACCCTGGGCCTTTGCACTGAGCTACATCCTCAACCTTTTGCTTTACTTTATTATTTTTTTTTCTTTCTTTCTGACAGTCTCGCTACTAAATTGCCCAGGCTGGGCTCAATTTTGTAATCCTCTTGCCTTGGCCTCCCTGAGTGCTGGGATTACAGGCATATGCCCCAACCCTCGGCTTTTTTAAAAAACAAAACAAAATAGAGTCTCACTAAATTGCCTAGGCTGGTCTCAAACTAATGATCTTCCTGCCTCAGCCTCCCAAGTAGCTGGGACTAGAGGTGTCCACCACAACAGAGGGGCACAAACTCCTTTTCAAAAGGCTGTGTTCCTCTCAGCCAGCCATACATTTGGGTGTGATAGCACGGCTATAATCTCAGCACACGGGAGGCTGAGGCAGGAGAATAACCACAAGTGTGAGGCCAGCCTGGGCTTCATAGTGAGTTCCAGATCAGCCTGAACTATATAGCAAAACCCTGTCTCAAAATAATAAATAAATAAATAAATAAATAACAAACTCTTGACCATGGCCCATCTCCAGATTATGGCCAATATATTCTCCCACCAGTGTAACATATTCCCAGCACTGTTAGGCAAACTTAAGGAGAGGCAAAGGGCAGGAATCAGTCTAATAAATCTTGCTTTGAACAGACACCGCCCTACCCACACATTACCGTAGCAGACACAAGGTTGGGAATTTAAAATTCCCTGAAGATCAAAAAGATTTTGTAGGATTCAGTGGCTCCCAAATGTTTCATCACCAAAGACCTCTTTGGTGAAACCTCTGGTTTTGTGATATTTTATCTACCTAACTGTATCAAACAATGAGTCGTTTGCCCAGTTTTGCTTCTCAAGGGCAGAGTACTGCCCATCTAAGCTCCAGAGTAGATAGAGATAACCAAGTGTATCCATGACAGAGTGAGAGGCATCCAGCCCCAAATACAGACACTCACGTCTGTGTCAGCCTGCACTATCTGGCCCAGGTAAAGGTTCAGGGCCCTCTGGGCGTTTGGAAACACTGACAAGATGAGAAGAGGTTGAGGGTGGTACTCTTAGAGGAAAAAGAAAGACCAAAGGAGCAGGTATAGGAGTCAGAGCAATCTCCTGAGGAAGGCTACTAAATAAACAAACAGTGGATGCTTGGCTAGCAAGCCATGCCCTCATTATGAGACCTGCAGGTGCTGGGGCTCTGGAGGTCCTAAGCAGATCTCAGGGGCCATCCCAAGACCATATCAGCGCTGGTCTTTCACATACAGGTAAGAGAGTTGGGGCAGGGACAGCTGGGGACTTGCCCCGGACCACTTCAGGGCTGTGTGGAGCCCAGCATCAGAATCTCACGATAAGGCTCCAATTCCCAGGCCTTCCCTCAAGCACCAAGTCACAGAACTCGAATTCAGAAAGACAGACTCACCTCTGCTAGATACAGCAAGCAGAATTTCAAGTCTCCTGAAGAACCTTTGAGAGAACAAAAAGTAAGACTTGCATTAGAACTGGCTGAAGTATCTCAGTGGTTTGCTGAGGCACAGCCAGCTATCTTGCCCAGGACGCTGTGTGTGGTGCTTCCTGGGAAAAGAGGAAGAGGCAGACACTGGCAACAGGGCAGTCTCTGGAGCAAAGCCACTCTGTTTGCTAACTGGGGAGTGATGGGCAGCCGTGAGGCATTTGCCTGCAAGTCAGCCTGACCCAAAGAAGGCTGGCATCGCATCCCCAGGAGAGGCAATCAGGAGTATCAACCAGTAGGAAGCTGTCACCCATCCCAGAAGTCTCCTCCTTTCCATGATCCCTCCTGTGACAAGGGGCAAGAGGTAACACACATCCAGGTTTCCTCCACCACTCCAACTGCCTCGGGAGGGCGTCATTTGATTCCTGGGTGGGCCTTATTCCCACCTCAGAAAGCATGAGGCCAGGAGGGGCAATCCCCAGTCACGGCCTGAGTGGAGCTAAGAGATGATTGTCAGGCCCAGGCCGAGCCCTCTGTGTTTTCCTAGAGCCTCCTCATCCCTGGTCTAGGATCCTAAACTCAATCATCCACCAAGCACTCTGCAGCTGGGAAGAGCTGGGAGGGACCGAGGGCTGTCCCCTCCTCCAGCAGAGGAGCTCAGTTGGAAGCCAAGAGATGACCCGCAGCTGTTGGGGAGGGATTTCTGGAGAAGGGCCTTTAGTGCTAAAACTCAAAAGGGGAAGAACGGGCATTCCAGGAAGTGGGAAGGGCACAAGCAGAGATAGAGAAACACCAGCTATGCCTCCTCTAACACATCTGTCCTGACCACTGCAGCTACTCGGCTGAATCTAGCAGCACTCCCCATTGGGGTACTCAGCTGGACACAGGCCTGGGCTGGTTGGAAACTCCCTGTGCTGGAAACAATTGGCCTCATCAGGCAGGCTGTCATTTTTAAGAGAAGCAACCATATAAAACATGTAACAGCATCAAGGCCCACAGAACTGCTTGCCAGCCACCACTCAAATGTTTTCCATGTGTAAGCTCAAGGGCTTCGATGTGTAGCTCCATAACAGCACTGGCCCACAGCCCTCTCAGAACCCCAAGGGGCAGAGCTGACAGAAACCATGGCCCATGTGAAAACAACAGAGGCATAGGAAAGTGAAGTAACTCACCCCAGGTAGGAAAGGGAAGAGCCTGGCTCCAGAGCCCGCTTTTTTAATGCCACCTCTTAACTGCGGGGTTCAAAGCAGACCCTTTCACGCAGACTTGAAGCAAGGAAATTGCCAAACAAGGCAAAATTCATCACCAAGAGAAGGCAGCAAGATGACAAGGAGATAATCCAGTCCTAAGCAAAGCAGTAAGTGGAGCCCTAACTGAGGTAGGTGAAGGCCAGGCACCCTGGAAACAGGTATACAGGCAGTTTCCATATGGGCCAAAATCTCTCTAAAGCCAGGGGCTTCTAGGTGGAGCCAGATAAAATAGCCCCAGAAAAATAGAGGTGCACTTTGGACTCAGAATAAATTTTTTACTTCTCCCCACCTGGAAATGGATTGGGGAGAGAGGGAGGCCTGCCTAAGAAACCCATAATGTTTAAGAACATTGTAAACTGGGTGTGGTGGTGCACACCTAGAATCCCAGCACCCTAGGAGGCTGAGGTAGGAGGATGGCAAGTTCAAACCCAGCCTAGGCAGCTTAGCAAACTTAGCATGATCTTGTTTCAAAAAGGAGGTGAGGTCTGGGGATGCAGCTCAGTGCAGAGGCCCTGAGTTCAATCATGAGGGGAGGGAGAAGGGAAGGGAGATTGGGGGGAGGGAGAGAGAGAGAGAGACAGAGAGACAAAGAGAAAGAGAGAGAAGAAATACTGTAACCCCAAAGCCTCTTCTAGTTCCTTATGTTGCTGAGAGTAGGGACAAGAAGAGGTGGTCTCTTTTGTTTAAGAAAACACACTGGATAACAAAAAAATTTTTTAAAATTAAAAAAAAAAGAAAACACACTGGATTATTTCCTTGACTCTCCAGAAGCAGACCCCAGAGCAAAAGGAGAGCCAAGAAGACCTATGTTAGAAAATAATTGGAATTTGGGTTTTGGAAGCTGGCAGTGAGGAAAGAGAAGGTTCTGGAAGTGAAGGCAAGCCCAGGAGATGAGCACTTCAGGGAGACATGAGCTGAGAGAAGATGGGGGAACACGCCTTTAGACAATCCCTGTGGCCAGGGATGGCTGATGGATTGTTTTGACAACTGCTCTGTGTTGTGATACCACCCCTGCCTGCCCTGACATCCCTGAATTACTGCAAACTTTCAGTGAATCTTCTCCACATCACAGCCCCAAGCTGGCAGCCCTGTGACAGACGGATGGAATAGGGGCAGTGCTCAGCATGATTCAGAGTCTCATAAAAGAAAAACAAGCAAGGGGGCAGGGGTGCCAGGGAAGAGCTGCTGCAGCTGCAGAAAAGCAGGCAGCAAAGAGGCTGAGCCAGGAGACACCCTCAGCCTTCCTGAAACATTAGGACTGGGGCTGGCATAGAGAAGGGACGCTAAGGCTGCACATTTGAGACACTCTGCCTGTGCCATTCCAGAGCGGGCCTTGCTTCCTACCAAGGAATCCATGGACCATGCAAGAGGGATCCCCAGTCATGGGCTCAGTGGAGCCCCTGGGCTTACTGGCTCAGGTCTGACCCTTCTATCATTTTCCCAGAGTCCTTCCAAGCCTGGTCTAAGATCTCAACTCAAATATTCACAGGCTCAGAAAATGTCAACTAAGATGTACTCCAACTACTCCAGCAGCTGGAGTTTCCGAAATGGGAACCTGGGTCCCCAAGGCAGCTGGAGAGTTCATGAGTCACCTGGACATTTCCAGGCCACATCTGAGAGAAGAGGGCAGGCCAGGAAGACACACTGTGGGCATGATACTGGCTGCCTGGGAGGCAGAAACACAAAGAGTAGCAAAGCCAGTGGCCCCCACAAACCAGAGATGTCCTGATAGCACCAGCTCTCCATCTGCTTCCATTATATTGCCAGTCAGTCCTGCCAGAGCTTGGGGAAGCTAGACAGGAGAAGGCAGGAAGGACTGCAGTGGCCACCAGCCGGGGGCCCTGAAGGAGGAGGCACTCCCAGCCCCCAAGCGGAGACAGTGCTTCTGGTCTCCTTTTAGTCATTCATTGATTGAATCGCCCAACATACATTCATTGGGCTGCCACATTGTTCCATGCCCATACTAGGCCCTGGGAATACAGCTGACCTGCAGAGCTAAGAGCTACTCGGACAAATGCCAAGGGAGGCCCTGGTCCCTAGGATGGGGTGGATTCTCCCCAGCATGCTGGAAACGCAGATGCAACTGCTTCTTGTTGACTGTCCTCTGTGTTCCAAATTGAACTCTGCATATAATGTTGATTTGAAAGAGACAAAAAGAAACCTAGGAGTTTCATGTCCTGAGCAACGTTAATGAGAGACCATTCTGGCACCAGAGGCTTCATTCAGCCCAGGCTCCAAATGCATCTCTTAAAAGCCTCACTCAGGCCCCTGTGGCGGCAGTGAGTCTCCTGGGGCACTGGGGAGGAGGCCAGGAAATCAGGCGCCAGGACTCAGAACATCGGGTCCTGAAGTTCCACCTCGCTATGGCAGAAGGGGACACTGGACTTCAGTGAACCTCTGGAACTGGCTCACAGATGTGAGGACAGTGGGGGAAGGAGCACAAGGGCTCCATGGGTGTCCAAAAAGAAACTAAGCATCGGAATGTGTACCTTTTTCTACAATCTTTTTAAATATGTGTATGTGTGTGTGTGTTGTTGTTGTTGTTGTTTTGGTTTTTTGTGTTTTGAGACTAGGCCTTGCTGTGTAAATTAGGCTAGTCTTGAATTCACTATGTAGCCCACACTGGCCTCGAACTCAAGGTGGTTCTCCTGCCCCAGCCTCCCTAGTGCTGGGACTACAGGTGTGCGCCACCACGCCTGGCTGAATGTGCACCTAGGAGACTCCATGTCATGGAGTCATCTCCTTTGCTCTAAGCAGCTCTGAGGCTCTCCAAGAGCTCCCCCAAACCATCTCAGGCCTGAGGTCTGCCCCAAACCATCTGTCCAACAAATCCAGTGCTCCCTCTCCCACACCAAACCAACCGGTCATCTCTCCTGAAACATGCTGCCTAGGCCACCTCATCTAGGTGACCCACCATCCACAGGCAGATGGGCCTCAGCCCATGGACACCATCCCCAGGCAAGGGTAATGCTCCAGGCTCACCTTGACCATCACCACCTGGTGGGGCACAAAGCACCCCTGCCTTTAACTGCAAGTCTTGGGGGAAGGGGGATTCTAGGAGGGGAAAACCAGTCCAGGCCCCTCAGCAAGTGGAAGCAGGGCAGCACAGCACTGTCCAGCTTCTCCCAGCCACCTGGGGATTCTGTCCAGGGCCATCAGACCTGGGAGGGAACACAGAGAAATAAACCCAGAAAAGGGAAAGGACCAGCTAAGGTCACACATGACACTAACAGCAAATCTCTGGCTACTGCCTTCAGATCTTCCACTGCCTTCTTCTCCCACTCTAGCCTCTACCCAACTGCACCCAGCTGGAGCCTCCTTCTTTTCCCTTCTCCCTGTAGCAGGAAGCTGAGCAAATGAATCCTGGGCTTGTGGTCCCAAGCCTACAGTGTGCAGATCACCGAGCCTGAGTCAGTTCTTATCCTTGGCTGTGTTCGTTACTGAGCAGCATCCTGCCCAGCGCTCCCCAGATGGAACTGGGTGGGTCTTACACTGTCTGAACTGGGGGCAGGGTGAGGTAGGGGAGCAGAGAAGGAGGGACTATACTGAAAGTGTATATATGTGAGTACTCAGAGCGTAGGGGAGCTGGCTGCAAGGGAGCAGAGGAGGAGGCGGAATAGCAAGGAGGCCCGGGCAGAGTCCACTGGTTGGAGGGCAGCGGGCACTGGGGAGCTTCCTGGCAGGCCAGGGCCTGTGCTGAAGTGGCTCACAAATCTGATCTTCCCCTCTCCGGAGGCCCAGAGGGAGGGGCTGTGGCTGCCCTTGGTCAGGAGGCAGGAGAGTCAGAGCCAGAGAGGGAGAGTGGTGAGTGACTTCCCTTGGGGAGGGGACAGTGGAGGTTCCCACAGGATCTGGCTTCCGAGGAGGAAGACCAGCCAGGGCAGCGGGCGCACAGGATGGCTTTTTGAGCAGTCAGGAAGTTTGCCTGGAGTGAAACCCACCAAAACAGAATTCTTTCACCGGGTAATATTTTCCTCCCTGCCCATCGCCTGTGCTCAGACAGGTCTGTTGTTGTTTTCATAATCTGGGAGAGGAAATCGAGACCCTTTCAGCGGAGACCTCAGGCGCCAAACCAAACTGCTGGACAGATACTCCCAGCTGGCTTCCCGTTCTGACGGCCGGGGTGCCATGGAAAGTTTTGGGTTAGAAATCCTGCAGGCTCCTGCATACTCTGCTCAACAGCCCCAGCCACGTGTGTTCCAGCTTCCTTGGGCTCTCGATAGGGCTGTGTGGCTGGCTGAGGAGAGGCAGTGGTCTCGGTCCACACATCTGGAGAGCAGGGTGGCAGTAGGCATTTCTTAGGCACTGGTTGTGGGCCAATCCCTTTGCATAAATGACCTAATTTAACCCAACAACCTTCCGAGACACTATTATTATCCCAATTGACACATGAGGAAACAAGCTCAGAGAAGTGGAGTAACTTGCCCAAGGTCACACCAGGAGAGCACTGCCAAGATTTGAACATGGGTCTGAGGCCAAAGCTCTTCCCACCCTCTCCATGGCCTCCCTGGAAGGCATCTAGAACAGAACCCACCCTGAAAAGCTCAAGGTGTGGCAGCAGGCTCGCAGGCCTAGAATGGATGGTTGGCCAGTCTGGGGACAGAGCCCACCGCACATAACAAATGCCCCGCTGAGGGCTGGCAGCTTGGCGCTCCTCACCTTCCTGCAGCTTTATGCTCTGGAGATAGAGGGGGTTCCTCAGAACATTGCAGCGCCCAGGCTCGTCCTCCTTGGTGAAGAGCAGCAGATCCGAGTAGGCAAACAGTGTCACCTGCACCAGAAGAGAACACATGGACTGGCTACTCCACTGTCCCCTGGACACAGACAGCCACAACCTCCCCTGGAGGTCTGGGTAACGCATCCTCATCATCTCACGCAGAACCAGCAACTCCAAGGGTGGCCCAGAAAGGAGAGTGCCTTTCTGCCCTCCTCAAAGTAGGAAAAAAATAAACCAGAAGGAAAGACAGTCCTCAGCCTCCACGTCAGATGGCTTCCTCGGGGCCTCTCCACAGCCTGGTGTCCCCAGGCCCCCCTGTCCTGGGCTGGCCCTGCAGTGCCCAGGGGGGTCTCCAGCCCTCACCCAGCTTTGTTTGAAGCTTCCTGCAGAGCTCTTAGAATCATGTGGTGTGACGTAATACTGCCAAACTCCTTGCAGATAACTTTAACTACATTAAGGAGAAATCAGTCCAAGAAAAAGTCAGTTGTTTACACTTCAATACAGACTTGTACATAACTTAAATCTCCTTCGTGTACCAGCTGCTCCAAAAACAAAAGAAAAAAGCTATTTTTAGACATTAAAGGTAAACCAACAGGAATGTGCAGCATATTTGTTATGCTTAAAAAAAAATCCACTTGATCCTCTACTCCCACTGAAGTTTACACTGGTATTTGTTTTATAAATTCTGCAGGGCTCTTAGTTAAAAGCAATAAAATCCAATTTTAGGTTCTCCAGAAAAAGCCCACAAAAGATTATTAATTATGGGGACTTCCCTTTGAGGTGTCAAAACTTGGTACTTCATTTCTTCTGAAGTAAGAGGAACCAAGCAGAAAGGCCTGGATTCCTCCGCACGGCAAGTGTGTGTCAGATTTCGACTGACCTTTAAAAAGCCAACATGTTGTCAGTTAGTTCTCAGACTGGTAAAGATTACCCTACACCACCACTTCAGGCACCCTTTCCTGCAGAAATATTGGAAAAGATGCATAAATATGAACATATAAGGAAGTTAGCGGCATTCTTATAATTTAACAAAGGAAAATAAAATAAAAAACCATCAAGAGAGGACTGATAAAATAAATTACAATAACTTCACACGGCAGAATTTTGTGCAACTTTTAAAAGAATAAAGTAGAGCTACATGGGCAGAAATAGAATACTGTCTATCATAAGTTGGAATAATGTGATGCGAAAAAAATACCTGGATATAATATAATTTTGTAAAACAAAACAAAAAGTTTGTATAGCTCTTTCTGTATTTTTTAGCTATGCGCCACTCTCCACACTCAGGGAAGGGGGATTTTACTTTATACATTTCTGTTTAATTTGCGTTACTTTTCAATGAGATTGTTACTTTTGTAATTTAAAAATATGTAAGAAAGGGCTGGGGATTTAGCTCAGTGGTTCCACCGCCTGCGCCTGCGCCTGCCTCACAAGCGCAAGGTCCCGAGTTTGATCCCGGTACCAAAAAAAAAAAAAAAAGTAAGAAATATCCAAAGGCCTACTTGGTCTCTGGAGTGTAGCGAAAATACAGAGGCAGAGACAACAGGGGATGTCACTGAGCAGAGAGCCTCAGGGCTCTGGCCCCTCCCATGGACTCCTGAACCTTGGGCTGGAAGGGATCTTAATAGTGACCCTACCCAGGGCTGGGGATTTAGCTCAGTGGTGCCACTGCCTGCATCACAAGCACAACGTTCTGAGTTTGATCTCCGGTACCAAAAAAACCAAAAAAAACCAAATAGTACCCCTACCCAATTCCCTTCCCAGAAAGCCCTATCTCCTACAACTCCCCAACAGAAACCTCTACTTGCTGAACACTTTCCGCTCTGTGAATCTTTATGCAAATAATATCATTGGCCTTTACAGATGAAGCCCTTATAGCTCAGAGAGGTTAAGTTACCCATCCACAGCCACACAGCTAGGGACTGTTATGCAGGTCTGACAGATGGTAAAGCTCTCACTGTACACAGTACTGTAGCAGCAATATGCCTACAGCTGCTCTGTCCCTGAATATAAAAGAATCCAAACAGGGACCCAAAAAAAGAGGAATAAAGGAGACAAATGATAATAATAAAGTTAAAGGAGGGGGAGAAAATTATCAAGAGTTCAGAAGGATTAAGAAGTTGGCTATATAGGGAGAGGACTGCAAAGTCTAAGCAAAGGAAAGAAGGCTCTACACTAGCTGCAGACACTAGGCAAACCCCCCTGCTCCCAAAAAACATGTCTCCAAATCAAGGAAAATCTAGCTGTCAGCTTTGGACCCACAGGGAAGCTGGCAGAGGAAATGTCAGAGAAGACAATTTGTCAGGAGCCTAGAAAGTCAAAAAATGGCTCAGGCCCAGAGGGGGCTGGATGGAGGACAAGAGGGAGGAGCCACTGCCAAGGTGAGAAAAGCCCCAGGCCAATGCCCCAGCCTGGATTCCCAGAGCTGAGAATATGGTCTAGACAGGAAGTGATTAAGGCATGAGTGAAGAATTTCCCCAAAGGTCGGGTCAGGGAAAGGACAGAGCTGGCACACGGCTGGAAGCAGGACAGAGGGCAGGCATGCCAGGGAAAGACATGTGGACCCCCTCCATCTCATCAGCATCCTGGTGACCCTATCTGCACAGACCAGTTACCTGCTGCCTCTCACCACGACAGGGGATTCCAGGTGTCTTCCTCACACCTGCACAGAGGACACATCTGTCTTCCCAAAGGGTCAAGGGTAGAGGGATTGCCTAGTCAGGGAATCCTTACAACCTAGAGGGTGACTGTCTCTCAAGTGGCCCTAGCCAAGCCTTCTCCTGGGAAACTGGCCTCAGAGCAGGGTATTCAGAAAGGACCTCTGCTCCTTGGTTAATGGTAAACTCAGTGAGTCAGTGTGTAAAGGGAGGGCGTGTCAGCCTTTCCCTTCATAGTATTCCAGGAACCTAGCACTGGGCCCAGCTACGTCCTCGATGATGTCCTCAATGATCTGTAAATACTGTGTGAACGGATAAATGAGGCTTCTCCAAAATGCAAGCAAGTGTGTGGCGTGGGACAGGATCAGCTCATAGACATCAGCAAACATGAGTCTGCCCAGAGAAGGGACAGACAATGAAGAGGAGGGGCTACCAGTTGGGAGAGGCTGCCCTTGCACATTCAGGAACTGTGGGGGAAAACCAGCAACTGGAAGAGTGCAGAGAAGCAATTAGAATGGATGGCTCCTGAGGGCCCAACCAGCACTAAGGCTGTATGAAGTTACACAAGTCCCTCTGGAATTGGTTCTATTTTTAGCTTGAGTAAAATGATAGAGTACCAAAATCCTCATATTTGATTGCTATTATACTGCAAGAAAAAGGAATATATTTATTTCACTTGTTCTCAAATCACTTCCTTCAATTTTGGGAGAAGGGGGTGTCTCTTGGTTCTAAGGTTCTCCATGCGGCAAAGATATTTTAGATGAATTATAACTATGGCTATGGCTTGGCTTGTGTTTCTTTATTTGTTTTTAAACAAACATACCAGAGGCAGCATGGGGTCATGGAAAGCATTGCTGAGCCAGGATTAGAGCCAGAGAGCCAAGTGCTAATCCTGGCTCCGTTCCTTACCAGCCTTGACGTCCCAGGTAATTTCATCGGAATATTAGTACCCTCGTGTCCCATGGGGGTGCTGGAGAGCTAACTGGGATCAGTGCAAAATGCATGCATGGCAGGAATGCACAGTAAGTGGTCAACACTGGTGCAAGTAACAGTGAGCACATTTTAAGAGTGAATTAAGACATCTGTGTGTATTTCAGGGTGGCTGTCATCCCAAAGCACTTTCTTCTGGGCCTGCTGAATGCACAGCCACACCTTCCCTTCTGACCCTGCACCCCTGACTTACCTCCACCACATGCTTATTCACCAAACACAGTTCCAGTGACCTCTCACTCCTAAAACCTAAATCTCCCTCAACAGATGAAGTTTTACTCCCACACAGGGAGGCAATTCCGAAGCCATGCTTCAATTCTCAAGAACATTCCCAAAGGGTAGGTCTAGAAATGACCTCAGCAGTACCAGTGTGGTAGAACTGAGCACACAGTCTCAGCAGAGAGTGCCCTTGAAAAAAGACAATGCTCATTTGGAACACATGAATTCTGGTCTGCTTGTTTAAAAAAACAAGACAAAACAAAGCCAATGTCCTGCTTCAGCCACGGTCACATTTAGTGCCCTAGGGTGGTAAGGCTGAAGGCCCCTCAGACCATGCTCCTGCAACCTTAAATATACACAGGGAAGACTGAGGAAGAAGGGAGAAGTCATGAGTGAGTCAGCAGCACAGCTGGGGCTAGCTATAGGCTTCAGGCCTCCAGGCTTTCTGATTTTGCCGGTTCCCAAGCACCTAATCCAGTCTACAGAGTCAGCTCTGCATCACAGCGTGATCTGCACCCAGCCCTCTCCCTCACTGCATGACCCCCAAGTAGCCAGGCCGGATTACAGAGCTCCACTTCTATTTCCTGCTTGGACCAAGACAGCTCTGCCTCAACGCTGCCACCCAACCAAAGCCTCTACTTATGGAGCACTTGCTTTCTGCAGTGTGGATCTGCATGTCAATACCATCATTGCTTTCTACAGATGAGGACCTTACAGCTCAGAGCGGTTAAATTACCTGTCCATGGCCACTCAGTCAGAGACTGTTGTCCAGGTCTGAGCTGGGACCTGGCCAACTCTGGGGATTGAGTGGGTGAGTAAAGTGCTCCCAGCTCCCAGGAAGAGTAGCATGGCCCCTGGACAACCCCTGCTGGCATGGCTAGAGCCCAGGAGAAATCATAGATCTCTCAGGAGAAGATCTAGAATTTGGGTTAATACAGACTCAGGACATTCAGGAAACTGACACGCCTCTAAAAATTCTCTTTGGCTAGCAGCTTTAATTTTCTCACCCACAAAGTCACTCACCACAGCTGAAGTGAAAAACCATCTTTTCTCTCTCCTTAGAGAAAGTTGGGATAAACAGTGGAATGTCTTTATGAGCTGGGGAAGTACTATAAATGTCAAAAAGAACAAAACAGTTTTGAAAGGAGGGGAGTTCCCTATCAGTGGAAGTAGATAAGAAATAGCTAGGAATCCACTTGTTGGGGGAAGAGGTGTGGAAGAGTTCTCAGGTCTCCATCCTGGGATTGCACCACGATCATCTGGAGGAAAAAAAGTGAGGGGCCTATAGATGGCCAAGGAGGAAAGCCAGCCAGGCAGTGCGCATGAGTCTTACCTGGGCAGCCTTGTTCCTCCCCTCGTACAACAGCAGCTCCTCTGTCAACAGGAGGGTCCTGGCAGGGTTACAGAGATCTAGGGGCTGAAAACAAAGTGTGCACAAGTGAGTGGGCCGTGCAAAGACACAGGGCCGCAGAGGAAGCAGCTAGCCAAAGCCAGCCACAGAGAGGCCTCCCCTCCCCCAAGAACTCACACACCCCTCACAGCCCAGATGGAAACAGAAAGATCTCCTGTCCGTGCGGAACTGTGGCTGCCACCTTCCCCACCAGTCCTCACCAAGAGAGCTGCACTCTCTGGCAGGAAGTCCAACCTCATGCCTGGGCCCTCCGCAGTCTCCCCTCCCCCACTGCCCACCTCCTACCCCAGGGCTCCCCATCCCACTTCCCCCAACCTGTCCTGATGATGCCCCCCCGAAGGCCCTGCTTTCAGAGCCCAGAGGGGTCCTGAGAGCCACACACCAAGAGATTTGGCCACTTGAGACCCTTCAAGGTGAGGCCTCTCCCTGCTCTACATTTATAACACACTTGGGCTGACTCCTTCCCATCATCAATTCTGAAGGAACCACTTCTCACTCAAACCTCTCACTCCATCATCCTGTCCAGGGAAGTCCAGAAAAAGCACCCTGAGCTCTAGATTACCAAGCAGGACCTGTCCTCATGAGCATATACTTATAACATGGCTTCTGCCTGCCTGGCCTCAAGCAGGTACTTGAAGGAAGATGATGAACCAAGTATCAACTGCACACAACAACCTGGATGGACCTTATAAATCATATGGTGCCAGAGAAGCAAGACCCAAATGAATACATGCATATAAATATTCATTAAATGAATATATGCATATAAATATTCATTAAATAATATTTTAAAAGAGGCCACACAAAATATGATATTTAGGGAAATATACAGATGGTAAAAATAAAGAAAAGCAGGTAAATGCTCACTATGAGCTAGGCTGAGGTACCTTTGGTGGGAAGGGAGGGCATTATGATCAGGAAGAGATATGCAGGCTTCCAGCATATCCCTTGGGCAGCAATCGTATTCCTTTATTTTAGTGGATATTTGCTTTATAATTACTTATTAAATCAAACATTTAAGTGTTATGCCATTTTTAGCTTAAATGTTTCCCAATACAAAAATTTTCAAAAGGTTTTCATAACTTTTTCAAAATCATTTCAATCAAATAATTTTTATCAAAATTAAAAACAAAAATTAATCCCCCAGGATGGCAAAACCTTTGTGTCACATCCAAGAAAGAGATCAACAGAAAGCCAAAGGCCAGGCCCTGCCTACAGAGCCATAGAGGGAGAGGTTTGCTGCCTGCCACGGATACATCACATCCAAGAGGGAGTTCTAAGACCACCGGACAGGGACAGGCCCAGAATGGGATGCTACAGAGACCTGAGAAGTAGGATAGGAACAGAAGTGACACCCTCGGAGCTGTGTCACCTCTATGCTGCTGATGAGTGGATAAAGTAGTGTTATTTCCCTAGAACACAGTCTGTCAATATGTGTACAGAGCCTTCAACATGTTCACAACCCGTGACCCAGTATTTTCACTTCCAGGAGTCTTTCCCAAGGAAAATCATCACAGAGATAATTCATGCATGAAGTTTTTATCACAGAGCTGTTTACAATAGCAAAAGAATAGACCACATGGATCTGAATTGAGAACTGGCTCAGTAAACATGGTATATCCACACGACAGAAGAGTGAGAACCACTATACAACCCAGGCTCAAAGAAATGCTCGTGCTACAATTTTTGTTTTAAAAAGGCAACTAGGCCAGGCATGGTGATACACACCTACAATCCCAGCACTCGAGAGGCTGAGGCAGGAGGATCACCATGAGTTCGAGGCTAGCCTGAACTGCATAGCAAGACCCTGTCTCAAAAAAACAAAACAAAAACAAAAACAAAAAAAAAGGCAACCAGATATAAAATATAGGATAAGATCTGTTTTGCTTTTTAAAATCTATATATTTATGTGTGTGTATGTATGTATATATATATATGTGTGTGTGTGCATATATTTGACACTTAAGTGTTTAAACAGCCTATATCTGGGTGATGGAATAAAGAAAGATTATTTTTAAAGAGAAGAGAAAAATGCAAAAGAAGAGAGGGAAAAAGAAGAGGAAGGAGTAGAAGAAGAAGGGAGATCCAAATGAACCTCAGGCCACCAGTGAATACTGGCCAGCCATGTTTGGGTGGCCAAGGGGACCACATAAGCTCTATCTTGGTCAGTTCCAAACAGTAAACTTCTGGGTGAGCTGATGAGCAGGAGCTGCCTCGGGCAGGTCCTGGACCTCACAGCCTCAGCCACAGAGAAAAAGGAGGCTGCTGGGGGAACAGGAGGGCCCTCTATGGCTCCATGTTTCCTGAAGCACCTCTGGAACCTCTGCTCACTGACAAGACCTGCAGAATCCTGAGCTTCTCGAGTCATTCGTCTTTCCCAAACCAGGGCCCTCAGTCCTGGGGTGAAGAACTCTCCTCATTCTCGTCTCCTTCCAATGACACCCTTGGGGCCAGCCACAGGCTCACCTGAACAAAAACAGGGAACACCAAGGCTTTGGGGGCCAGGGTGACGTAGGTGCCGTAGCTTGAGTGCGGGACGTGCGGCCTCAGGAGCGAGCAGTCCTGGTAGTTCCCGTGGCCCTTCACCGTCTGTACAGTCTTCATCAGCCGGGACTTCTTCCCCAGGCCTGTGTAGGACTTCCCTTTAGTGGGACTCCCCGATTCTGTGGAACAGAGATGGAGATCAGTGAGGCATTTCCATCTCTCCTATGAAGGATTCCCTTAGAGCTGGACCTGGTGGCACACATCTGTAATCCCCTGCACTTGGGAGGCTGACGCAGGAGGATTACCATGAGTTCCAGGCCAGCCTGCCAGTCAGCACCATTGACTGATAATCTACCTTGTGCTGGGCCTGTGTAAGGATCTGGGGACACAAGGAGGCTCCAACTGGGTCTCAGGCCTCAAGCAATCCTTCACACTCTAGTGAGAGACGCTGGAACATAAATAAGCAACTCCAGGGGAAAGGCAGAACTGGGAACCAACGACTGTGAGATGTAGCAGTCCCCAGTCAGTGTCCCAGGTCCCCAGTCAGATCTGTTTACTGGCCTCACACTTTTAAAAATCAAGAAACCACTCATATTTTTTTAAATCATAAGGTCTGACTTCACTGGACCTGCAGTGCCACATGGAAGAATGAGTTGGAACAGAAGCCACTGCCCTCTGTGGCAGAGCACCTGCTCACCCCACTGCCACCATCCCAACCCAACTGGCCCATCCATAGCCCCTAGACAAAGATCCATTCTCTGCAGAGGTCCAGAGACAGCGGACTTTGCCAGGATGCATGTGGTCCACCCTCCACTAGTCAAGAAAGCTGGAGTCTCCCGGCTGACCACAATCAGTCAATAAGCAGTAAAAAGCAGCACTTACACCAGGCACAGTGGCCCCTGCCTATACTTGGGGGGGAGAGGGGCAGGAAGATAGCCGTTTGAGGACAGCATGGGCAACTTAGTGAAACTCTGTCTCAAAATAGAAAAAATAAAAAGGAAAAGGGGCTGGGGGTGTAGCTCCATGGTGGAACACTTGTTTAGCATGTACAAGATCCTGGCCTCAACCCCCAGCACCACAACTTAAAAAAAGAAAAGTAGTACTTGCCACTGTCATTCTCGATAAGGAGCACAGCTCTGAAGCCAGGTGGCTGTGCTCAAAGCCTGCTCCCACAGGCGCTAGCTCAGTGACCGTGGGTGGCTTACTTCACCCCCAGAGTCTTGGTTTCTTCGGCCGGATTAAAAGTGCCAGGCACCCCAGCTGCTGCAAGGGCTAAACAAGCTGCTCTGAGCCAAGCCCTAGAACAGGGTCTGGGAGTAGGAAAGGTACAGAGAAAGTCAGCTCCTAACACGTTGTTATTGTTTGGAAGCCAGTGGCCCCATGGGACAAAACTCAGAGTAGCTAAAAAGACAGAGATTCCTGGACACAAGCAGCAGGGAAACAAACCCCAGAACAATCTGACTCTGCACAAACTTTGGCCCTCTTCCAAGGGTTGCTGCTACTTGGAGGAAGCCAGCAAGGTCCTCCCTGACCTGGGTGCCCAGGCTGGGTCCCAGCACTTAGGCTTCCTTCTGCCCCCAGCCCTGGAAGCTGGCGGGGTAACAGGTGGCCTGGCCCAGTGACAGCTCAGGGAATCTCCCCGCCAACGCAATGTCATGGGCTCAGAAGCAGCCAGCCCAGGAGGTTTCACACTTGCTTCCACCTCCCACCCTGTACCCCTTCTCGGCAAGAGGTGAGAAAAACAAGTCAACCTCTCCTACCCCCACAAGTGACCACTGATCATAGTGATCAAACCATGATAAGTAGAAAGCAGGAGCCCAGGATGAGGGATAGGAGGTGCAAATGCAGGGAAGAAGTTACAGTCTGGCCCCAGGGTCATCTGTACAGCCAAGCCCTGGTCCCTTTGCTGGAAAGACCTGTCCTCAGTCTCGAGGTCTGCACAGCAATGGAGGTAGGTAAGACTTCTCAACTTGAGTGCTGACTCTCCAAGTCGGAGATGGGCTGTGCAATTCTGAACAGGCTCTTTCCCTCCTTGAGTCAGTTTTCTTCATTGCAAAGTGGAGGTAATGGATTGCTGCCTCCCTGGGAGCTCACACAAAAGGCCTGACTGGAAAGGACTCAGTGGGTTGTATAGGAGGGAGCATGTGCTGTGGATCATCTCGAACCCTAAGCCGTTCAATAAGCTGCCCATCACGGCTGGCAAAAGCATAGAGAAGGCTGCTGGGCTGAAAGCTGCACTGTGCCTGGGGCCACAGGATCAGCCTGGAACTAGACAGACTAATTTGATGTGGAACTAGCCTAAACTGGAGAAGGCAAAACCATGCAGGATTGACAAGCAGGGGACTGAGGCCAACTAGGCCAGTGTCAACAAAGGGTACCATTTGTACAGAGCAAAATCTGAGCCTTAAGCCCCAATTTCCTGACTTTTAAAAAAATCTATGTCATCCCTTCTCTGGCTCACCTGCCCAAGGCTGCCCAGGAATCTTCATTCTAAGCCTAAGAGTCACAAATCAACTCCTTGACCTATCATTCTGCCTTCAGAAAGGAGAGGTCTGTTTACCCACAGTTTACGGACAAGGAAATTAAGTCCCAGAGTGATGTAGGGCAAGGGAGCATGGCTCTCCAGAGCTGACTTTCCAAGGATCTGTTTTTAGAACAGTCCAGATTGCAACCCAGTTGCTGAGCTCAGTGAAGACAAACTCATTTACTTTCCACCTGCTACTTCTCATGGCAATGTCTGGTCCAAACCCTGTATCACCCCTTTCTTCCCTAACACCTGCCTGACTGGCTGAACACAATAATTATACAGCTTTGCTCTCGGCGTCTGAGGCAAGCCCTGGCAGCCATCCTGCCCTGGCAGTGTTGAAGCTGAGGCTAGGCTGCCTTCTCGGGGCACAGGACAATGCCCAGGGCACTAGCAGCCCCACAGAACATGCCAACTGTAGCCTGGCAGGAACCCCAGGCCCTGGAAGGGCCCCAGACCCTATTCAACTCAGAATGGCCCGACCTCCTCCTAAATGGCTACCTCCTGGCAGCCCAGCCAGAAGTCTCAGAATCAGCTCCCTGGTGACAGCCTTAACCTCTGGAGAAGCCTGAGTGTGTTCAAGGGAAACTTCTGTACCTTGAATTTCACCCCTGCCTCTGAACCCCAGACCTGGGAGCTATCAAGACTTGATCCTTAGTGAAGAGCAAATATGTCCTGAAATACCAAAAGGATTATTACTATGAAAGATAAATGAAATAAAGTCAAGATCTTAATATTCCAAAAGCTACCATTGTTACAAACACGATCGTTTCCTTACTTGTTCCTCCCAAGGTTTAGATGACTGTGCCTTTCTTAGCATTATATTCTCAGTGGGGAATGAGAACATAAATACAGGTTGGGAGCAAGCACAGAGGCATCTCTCGGGTTGAGAGGGAGTCAATCCCCCTCTACCCAGACAGTGTCCATGTGCCCACAGCAAGTGACACACTTCCCTAGCTCCCTACCTCCATGACTGAAATCCTACTGAGTACCTGCTATCTTCCAGGCCTGCGTCTGGTCCAAAGAAATTTGCCAAGCCCAGCCCTGCCCCTAATGAAGTCACCATTTAACAGTGACATCTTCACTCTAACCTAATGTGCCACAACTAAAAGCTTTTTAGACACTTATTGTTGAATTATGATAAGACTCCTCCCTAGAAGGAAGATAGCTTTATTTCTGACAGGCCAGGCCCGACCACCCAAAGGCCCCAGAGGGGAGAGAAGGGATGTGCCTTGCATCATCCATCCATAGCCTGATTGGAGCCCTTTCCCCACGAAAGACACAAGCACTCTCCCTACAACTGATGGAGAACAACAAGGAAGCAAGTCTGTGAAAGGCTGGAAAGAGGCCAGTCTCGAGGAAGGAGGTCAAGGGCATTCTGCAGGCACCACAAGAAGGGCTCAAGCACAACCTAGGTGGGAATCAGAGGCCACCTGGCAAGGCTGGTCTCAGCTTTCCAGGTATCAGCTGGAGCTCTCCAGCAGGTACCTGGGGGCCTAAAGGAATGCCCAGTGGAGACAGACTTCTCAGGCTTTCTGGGGGGAAAGGATTGGTTTGGAGTCCCACTTCTATCCCTGGCCAGAATTTAAAGATCAAAGGAGAAAAACCCACCCAAGAGCAGAGACTTCTGTGCCATTCAAAGATGAACACTCTGTGTCACATGGCTCGGTATGCAGGTTACAGTATACTCACGACCATGTTCTTATGCAATCCTCTGAGTAGGAATTACTGACTCATATTATAGATGAAGAAACTGAGCCTCAGTAAGGGCACATAAGTTGCTCAAAGTCCCACAGCAAGACCTCCAAACCAAGACCTCTAGCTCCACATGCACAACTTCGCTGTGCTGGCCCAACCATGCTGCCAACAGCACCTGACTTAGATGGCTGCTCAGTAAAACTGGGTGACACTCAACTGAATGCCTGAGTCCTGAGCATGCTGTCTCTCAGAGGGCTCTGGCAGATCCCACTCTACCTTCTCAGTTCCAGCTTCAAAGACACTGTTTGAGTGAGGGAAGAGAGGTACCAGGAGGAAAGAAGGTCTGTGTCAGCATGCTGGGTGACTGTGATTCCATCAGAAAGGCCTCTAAATTTAGAGGAAGAGGCTGGGCCAGGCCTCACCTGACCTCCACCATCTCCAGGCTGTGTAGGCACAGCACTGGGGATAGCTCACCTTCAGGGATGGTATCCTCCTGGTACACAGGCCGCAGCAGCTGCAAGGGAAAAATAGGAGAACCAGCTCAACCTCAGGAATGGGGCAAGATGGCCCAGCAGTCTGATAGGCACCAGCCCTGGGAGACAAGACACGAAACATCCTAAGGCACAAGAAAAAAACAGCAGTGCTGCTAACCAGCCGAGGGAGGGGGGTTGGTGAGAACACAGAAGCTCAGGACACGGAGTCAAAAAAGGCTTTTTGTGCCACGAAGTCTAAGCCTCTTGGCAAGACCCCAACAGGCTGTTCCAAAATGTATTCCATGGATCGCTGGAGTGGTGGGACCCCAACAACCACACTACAAAGGATGCTGTTATTGAGGAAGTTTGGGAAAAGCTAGGTTAAACAAGGTTAAACCACCTTTACTGCAGGATGCTCTCAGAACCTAGAATAGCCTAATGTGCACTGGGAATTTCCCCAGATGGAAGAGAGCACAGGATACTTCCCAAACTCATGTGACCTCAAAACACTTTTTTTCCCAGAGTACCTCATGGGACTAATGTTTGGGGAATATACTCCATCATCTCACCGTATATATAATTAGGCACTGATTTCATACCTCCTACAACAGGGCACTTACCACCTACCAAGGTAGCCCATTGCACTGTGGACAAGCAAGGCTGGTAGAAAGCTCTTCCTTCATGTGAGCTGACATCTTCCAGCCTGCACATGCCCTGCTCCTGGGTCTGTGACCTGAGGCTATACAGGCCCATCTGTACTCTCTACCACGACACTCCTGCAGAGGCCGGAGTTAGTACAAACGCCATCTCCTTGTCCAACACCCCCAGCCCCTTGCAGGCTCCTCACAGCACTGTTTTGAGTCTTTGAGAGTTCCTGGCTCCCACAGGGACCCAACACCCTTCCCTTTGCCCATACCAGCTGCCCATACCTGGCTCCCAGGGTTCAGCGGGGCCAGGATGATGTAGTTGGGGTCGGTGGGGGCAGTGGCACGGGACAGTGCGGGCAGGGTGTGCTGGCCCCCACGCTTGCCCACCTCGGTGTAGCGCTCCCAGCCACCGAACAGCAGCCCATCCGAGCTGTCACACACTAAGTGGCAGCTGTGGCGCTGCTCAGGCCGTGCCTGGACCCCGTGGGTACAATTCTTCTCCCTCTTGTTGGGGGGTGACAGGAGGTCATGTGTTGACTTGCAGGAGGCCCGCCGCAGGACCCCGCCATCTGGCCCCGGCTTGACTTGGGGGACCATGCGCCACACGAGCAGGATGATCTCTCCAGGGCAGCTCCTGGAAGGTTGGGGAATCACACAAAGAAGATGAGTCTAGGGGAGACCGAAGTCAGCCAGGATGGGGGCCCTGCAGGGCAGGGAGGAAGAGGAGGAGAGGAAGAAGCACACACAAGGGACAGGCTCCTAGTATCAGGGCAGGAAGGGATATAAGAAGCCACTTAAAGCAGAGACAGCAAAAGGGTGTCATGGGTCAACTCTAACCTAAGCTCACTTAGTAGTGGCTGAGAAGGGCCTCAAGGCCAAAGTCAGGTTCAACCGGAAAGAGCACTATACTCAACTCATGATGCCTGTCGTGGGTAAGATACAAGCAAGAAGGAGCAAGCAAATCACCTCAATGCATTCCTCATCTAACCATCTCAGAACCAAACATAAATGGACCCATTCAGATCTTACTTCAGGGGGTGGTTCAAAGGGTCCAAACATTTTAAATAATTTTTTAGTTGTGCAATTGAAACAGATGCGATATCTATGGATCCTTAAAGAAAGGGCTTTGTCTCAGGTAACAGCAATAATTAGCTAATGTGGAAAGTGACCCCCTGGTGCCACATCAGGAAGCACAGGGTCCATGGAGAGCTCCTTCCCTGCTTTTTGCTCTCAGATCCAAAACTGCTTGGAGACTGAGCCTTCCTTTTCATGCCAAGAACCCGATTCCCTGAGGAGCAAAGTGGATCGCTCACAGATGGGCAAAGGAGAGGCTGGCAAGCACAGGGCAGGGCAAGGCACTGTGCCCAGGGCCGAGGTGGGAAAGATATGTCATCAGCCTGAGCCACCCCCTGCCCCTGTCACCGGATCTCGTGGGCCAGCTCCACACATTTCCAGTGCTCCACCGGCCTCTCATTCAGTTGCAGCACCGTGTCCAGCTGCTGCAGCCCTGCTCGCTCTGCTGGACCTCCTGCAGGAACAGAGAGAAGCCATGCAGGGGCTCCTGAAGCCCAAGATCCCCTCAATGGACCTAGGGTCATTTTCTTCCATAGTGACCTCAGACAAGGCCCGTGCTTTTTCTGTTTCTTCGCCTGTGAAATGAGGAACCTAACCTGGTGGCTCTCGAGAGCCAGGAAGTCAGACACCCTTGCTCTTCAACTCTTCCCAGCCTTTCTGACCCCAGTTCCAGGCCACTTCTCTTCCCCAGGCCCCTTCCCTCCCCAGGGCCTCCTGTCCCACTGAGAACCTTGCATGTTGCCAGGCTGCCCCTCCTCACTCACCCCTCTTACCCCATTCATTGGGTGTCAATCCCATGCCACCCTTGTGCAGGCACTGGGGATGGCCTGATCACTGAGCCCTGGCTTGTGCCCATAAGATACACACTCAAAGACAAGAAAAAGACCACTTGTGAAAAGTACAGAAGAGGTGACTACTTTTAAATGTTAAGCGGGGTTATGATATGATGAAATGCTAATCCCAAAAGAATTCATAAATGACTCATTTTTCCCCACAGTCATTACAGAAAATCAGGTTTCATTTGTCCCTGTTCAAAATGATTGGCAATCAAAATATGAAAACCTATTTTTACTTTTATAAAAACAAAAAAAAATTGTGGGTAGGGCTGGGGAGTTAGCTCAGCAGCACCAAGCCTGCCTTGAACACAAGTGCAAGGTCCTGAGTTCAATCCCTGGTACCAAAAAAAAATTGTGGGTATATTTTCATAAACCCCAATTTCATCTCTGGCCATTTAAAAACATTCTTCTTTTCATTTGAAAAGACAAGAGCCCTCCAGTGTGGGGCTCTCCATCCAGTTCCATCCTGTCTGCAAAGCCCAGGTGGTTGGCAGGCAGGCAGGGCTTGGCATCCTTCAAGTGGCGAACTTACCAGAATCCACAGCTTGGACTCGGACCGGAGAGTCGCAACAGATGGTGAAGCCAAAGCCGTCCTCACCTCTTGGGATGGTGATCTAGAACACAGTCCTGCCCAGTCACTCCCAGAAGCTGCAAGGCCAGGAAGCCCACAGGCCCCACCCAAAGCCACACTCCTCTCCAAGGGAATCAGAGCCAAGAAGCAGCTGGTCAGTCTTTCGCTGTCCCTGTCAACCCAGGCACCCTAACACCCAGTTATGGGCCAAGTAGGGAGACTGAGAGCTCAGGAGGTAAACCTCAGATGATGCACCTGTTCTGCTGAGCCCCAACAGTCCCAGCCCTCTACCCAGAGCCCATGACACCTCTACCTCCATGTCACCATGACCCACTGCAGGCCTCAATCCTTTCTTCCTTTACCACAAGGGTGTTGGGCCTTTGTCCTGAGGATGCAAAGACAAAGCCAACCTGAGGCTTTCCTTACCCACAGAAGAAGGAAAACCAGACACACTCACTTGGTCATAGGCCAAGGGTCAGGGGAAGAGTGCTGGGGATCCCAAAGCAGTCACAGCAGTTGTCCCAGGTGAGAGGACAAGCAAGGGCCCAGATAGGCCTCTTGGGTGGGCCTGAACTAGCCACTGACCACTGTGCTTTCTGAGGGCTGTGGGCATGGCAGGACCAAAACTCTGACTTGCATAGGGCCTAGGAAATGTTCCTGCCTTCTGAATGTTCTTTGCAAACCAGGACACAATTACTGAGCTCCTACTGTATGGCAGGCTCTGCTGAGGTACAGAAACATGAGGCCTTGGTTTCCTGAGGGTCACGAGAGTACACGAATCTCTCCAAAGCAAAGCCCGGTATGATAAGCAATAGAACAAAACAGTAGGACTACGCTACACAGCTCTTTGTTTTGATGTCAGCCACCACCTTCATGGTGGAAGACACTAGGGAAGGGCTAAGTCAGTAAGGGTGGCCTGGCAACTACAGTGTCGCTGGCAGAAGGATTTGGGACTCAGCATGGCCACCTGCTCACTCAGGCTGCTAAAGGAGCAAAGTCAGAAAAGGGATTTCTTGGGGTCCCAAGAGACTGCCTAGTGGTGGGGCTTAGCATGGGCCACAAGGAAGGTGTCCCAGGCAGGCTGAGGAAACCACCAGCTCAGCAAGTTTGGGAAAAGCCAAGGGTGTCAGCCTTGCTGGGAGAATGCCTCTCCTTCCCTCAATGGCTGTCTCTTGGGGCTGGGCACCTGCCGTCATCTGCCGGCTGTCTCATAGCCGGGCATGAGGAAAGAGAGGAGGCAGGGGCCCAGGGCCACCAAGGCCCTTGGAAACTGCTGGGGCCCTTGAGGCTCTGCTTCCCACCAGCCTTGGGCCTGGATTCAAAGCAAGTTTGTAAAACAGGAAACCTGACAGACAAGGGGAAGGGGGAGGGGGCAGGAAAATACTCTGTTCCCATAAGAATTCTGGGAAAACATGCAGCTAAGACAGGAAGAGAAAAAAATGGAAAGAAAGAAAGAAAAACAAACCCAGGAGTGAGTGTGGAAAGCTAGAGGAAAGGAACAACCACTAATTGCCTAGCTCGCCTGAGGTGGAGAGAAGACATCAGGAGCCCCATCCCCTCTGTGGAACAGAGCGACTTTTCAGGAGACTTGCAACCCACCCTTCTGCCCATGCGGAAGCTGGATCTAAAAGCCCTTCTAGCATTTCCACAGTCCTAATCCACCATGCACTGTGGCCCCTCCTGGCTGGCTAACAGGAGCCAGCCCTCTAGATTCTGAACTAACCAAATTTTGGGTGTCATCCCAGAGCTCCCACACTCCAGGTTCCCTGATGCAGGCAGGGGCAGGAGCCTCTCCGCTTTCCAGAGTGCAGGTTTAAGAAAAGCCAGACCAGGGAACAGAGTGACCCAGGGGAAGGTAGAAGGAGCAGGAGAGGGCGTCAGAAAGCAAGCACATTTCCCAGCTTGGTGGGCTGGGGCAGGGCTGTGTGAAGGAAGCAGAATGATGCTCTTTGCAGTGTTGAGAGGCTGCTGTCCAACAGGCCTGTCCATCCCTGCAGCGCTAAGGAGAAGGCAGTTTTACCACACCCATTTAACCGAGAAGGATGCCAGCTGAGGCCGCAAGTAAGTGTCCCTCCAGCAGCCCTATTCTCTGACTTAGGGCCTTGGGGTGGGGGCCTGTCTTCCACCCTGGCTCCTGAGAGGCTGCCCTTCCTGGGGGTGGTTCTTGCCCTTGCCTGACTCCCCAGTCTCAGCCATGCTGGCAGCTCATGTCTGCTCTCCTTCCTGGTCTGGGAGGCTCTGTCTGCTTGGACTTCAGTCCCCAACTGTCACCAGAAGAACGAGGTAGACACTGAGAGTGGCACCCGCCATGCACTGGACCACTTACACTCACAGCATCAGCCCTGGATCTCACTGTTTCTGCTTTAGGGACAAGGAGGTTGAGGCTCAGAGAGGCAAAGTGACTTACTTGCTCAAGTGCCACAGGAACAGGAGATAGAACTGGATTTGGGACCAGGTCTGACAGAAAGCTTGTTGCTGGTTTCTAATGCAGGAGTCATTTTAAGCTCTGAGTCCTAGAACCCTAGGTCCACCCCACACTCATGCCTGGCTGGCCTCTGACCACCAGCATGCCCCGGTCTTCTCGCCCGTAGGCCCGAAGAGACCAGGGACTTCATAACACGCCATCCAGTGCTCTCCTGCTCCACCAATCTGCCACCCAGGGGAGCACAGAGCAGGGCTTGCAGGACAGGACCTGAAAGCTAGGAGGGCTGGAGAGAGGACATTTGGTCCCCTAGCAGCAGGTGTAGTGCATGGGACCCCTCTGGGAATCTCCCGGGGACCTCTGTACTACCTGTCAGGGGAGTCAGGATCTAGATTCCAGTCTGGTCATTAAAACAAGCCGAGGGACTTCTCTATATTTTAAAAATCAAAACAATTTCTGTGCTCCTTTCCAGCTTGGAAACTCCCCCAAATCTTGACATCTCTTACCTACTACACTCTCCTGACCCTATCCCTTTTGATAAGAAAAAACAGTGCCTCAGTGCAATTCCAGGAGAGGCCTGGGGCTAACGGGACCTTTACTCTTGTACAGCAAGAGCCCAGAGCCATCTCAAGGCACCCAGGCTAGAGGGAGGAAAGTTGTGCCGTACATGTACACAGAAACATCCCATCTCACACGCAAGTACACACTACTGCATACAAAGGGCCAAACCGCCTTGCTGTCCCATGAGAAATTGGAAAAGTTAGCAAAAACACAAAAGTCCCCCCGCCCAGAAACACCCAGCTGCTCAGCCACCAAGCCATTTGCAATCTTAGACTTGAGATGTCTTTTTTTTAATTCACACCCACTCCTCCAATAAAAAGAAGAGAAATGGGCCGGGGATTTAGCTCAGTGGTTCTGCATCCTGTCTCGCAAGCACAAGGACCTGAGTTCCATCCCCAGTACCCAAAAAAAAAAAAAAGAAGAAGAAGAGAAAATCTGCTACACAGTCTCTCCAAGGACACCACCCCAGCCATTAGGATGACACAGAGCCAGGCCTCGTTGGGCCCTAATGTGGGGTGGCAAGTAACAGGCTAGGCCTTGGGTCCAGTTCCTGCCTCTACTCCCTCCCCCAAACCAAAATGTGCTTGCAGGGGGCAGGAGGAGGTGAGGAAGGCCTTGTGGGAAGACAGGTCCTGCTCAAATGGGCCCCTACCCCAATCCCCCACCCCCCTCAGGTCCCCTCCTCCGAAGAGCCAAGCACCCACCTGGCGGTAGCGGCGCTCCGAACACACTTTACAAAGCCCATTGAAGCGGTTCATGGCTGCGGGTCCTGCCTCAGCTGCCACCCCATGAAAACCCACCTCTTCCCCCAGCCTCGGGGCTGCACTGCGCCCGTCAGCCTGGCATGACCGCCCTGGGAAGCCCGCCCCACAAAAGAATGGCAGGAAATCACCTCTCACCTCCCCAAGCCCTGTCTGCGCTGTGTGCCTCTGCAGATAAGCCCAAAGGCTTCCTGAAACCTCAGAATGACAAGGAAGAGGGAGAGTTTTATATTAAAATTCCTGTCAACTAGTTAGTATTCCTCGGGCTTGGCAGGGAGAGGGCGCCTTTGTTCTGGCTGCATTCTCCGCCATGGGCCACTTTGTGATTCCAGTGTTCTCACAAACACCCCTGCTGCCCTGCTGAGGAGAACCCAGGCAGAAAACACGCCCTGCTCTGCCGACAACTGCCTCCCTTGTGCAAGTCCCAGGGTCCCCAGTAGCAAATCCAAGGAACTGACCTAACCTAGTGACTAATAAGAACGACTTGGTGGAGTTATGGCTGTGGACATCCCATCTCAAGACGGGGAGCACAAAACTTGTGGAGGCTGAGGAACACCTGCCACCGAGGAGCTACTTCAAAAGTCAGCTTCCTCTACTATGTAAGGGGCAGGCCGCATGGAGGGTCTGATAATACGTGGGCCATAAAGTCAGGTGTGCAAGGGGCTTCCAAATCATCAGATGACCCAGGCTCCTCATCCTATCAGTGAAAAGACTGAGCCCAGAGAGGTTAAGGTCACACAGCAGGGCAGAACTCAGGGCCTGTTTCTTGCCTCGGAGTCTTGGACAGCAGCACAGCACAAGCCCAGCTGCTGCCCACCTGGGAATCCCTGGAGAAGCCCACCCACCCACACATCCTTATGACAGAGGATGTGCCCTGCTTGGTTGACATGTGAACTGTGGGCAAGTGACCCAGATTTCTGGGACTCTGTTTCCCCACCTGTACCAGGCAAGAGTTAAACAGGTGGCCACTGGTGGCTCTCCACAAGCCTTTGGCAATCACATCCTCTTTGCTGAGCCCTGTGGATATCTCTGAGTGCACAAGCCCAGGAAAATCTACTGCACCTCAGAACATCATTTCCAGGGGTGCCTGGCTGTGTGCAGAATCCAGCATGAAGCAAGACCTTCCAGAGCTACCAAGAAACCCGAACTGCTGATGTCCATGTAATTCCCATGAGTCACCACAGCAGCTGCCTGGTCACTGTCCTGCCTGTGCTCAGCAAGGACAGAGAGAAGGAGGAAGGTCTTTTGCAGTTCCCCTCTAAAGCCAGAGGAAGCTTTTTGGTTTTGTTTTTTGATTCTGCAATGCTGTGGAGAGAAGGCAGGGATTTGGGCATGCTAGCCAAGCGCTGTGCCACTGAGCCACACTCCCAACCCCAGAGGAAGCTTTAAACTCTGAATGAAACCATGGAAAACAGACCTGGAAAGTTACTCTCACACTACACTGTCCAGGACAGTAGCGATTAGACACCCATGCAGTTACTTAAAACGAGATGGGAGAGCAAATCAGAAATGTTCAAAATATATATTTTATATATATGTATGCCAATTTCCCAAAACAAATGTAATTGTTATACATCACAAATATTTAACAATTAAATTTTTAAAAATGAAATCGAATTTGATATTTAGTTCTTCATCATAGCTGTAGACCTCACTCCACAACGGCTGGACCTCATTCACAGCTCTGTCCCAGTACCCAGCACCAGGTCTGGCCCACACAGGTACAAACGTGTCATGAATAAATGAGGGAGGGAATGAACTGACTCAGGGAGGTGAAAAATCTTTATAGAATACAATACATCCACAGGTAAGATGTTATGGAACACGTCAACATTGTATCTTCCCAGCAAGGCCACACACAGGAGGGAGCATGGCCCAGTACACTCAGGGGATTGCCACACCTTGCTCAGAGCTGGCCTCCACCTCTCGATGACTGTGTGACCACAGACAATAACCTAACCTCTCTGAACCTGTGTCCCCCTCATCTGTAAGATAGGGCACCAAGAGCTACAAGATCACTGGGAGTTTGTTTTTTCTTCTCTAAGTTGCTAGAGAAAACCAAAGATCACCCGCCGCGCTCGGCAAAGAGGCCTGATGAATTTTGGAGACTTCTCCCAAATTCCATGTGAAGTTTCTCTCCAAATTTTCTAGAATCCATGGGGCTCAAGTTCAGAATCACAGCTTCCCCTGACCTCAACCGCCCTAAGCAGAGAAGGTGATTCAGCCATGGAGCCCAGGGAAGCAGAGGGCCCGGCAGCCCTGAGAAGGAGAGGACTCCACTTTAGAGGTCAAAAGTCCTATCAGAATGCACTGTTGCTGAATTGCAAACAGCAAGTTCTGCCTTCTCTGGGGGTCTCCCAGGCTGAAGGACTGATAAGGAGCAATGCTCAGGGACTGCCAGTTCCGCCCAGGCTGTCCCCACCTACCTGGAGTCTTTCCCCGTTCTCAGTGTCTCCACCTCCTGGCATTCCCAGCAGTGGGTCTGGAAGGTGAGAGAGAAAAGTCAGAAAGCTGCTGGTGGCATAGGAGGGCCTGTTCCATGACCACCCAGAGGACAAAGCTGGGCAGCAGGTCCAGGTGGCTGCCCAGCCCACTCCTGGCCTCCAGGAAATATGGATGCCTAAGGCCTGGGCCAGGCATTGCTTCAGGAGTCAGGGCTGCATGTGGGAAGGACAGAACCGAAGGGAATGCAAAATCCAAGTCCTGAGCTCAGGGCTCATGGCAGGGCCCAAATACCCTGCTTACAGAGCTGGATGCCCCAAGGTCAATAAGGCAGCCCCAAGGGGCACCTTGAGTCATGGATCCTGGGAAAAGGCCAATCAGGAAACTCTGGAACCCTCTGTGAGCAAGAGGTGGGGAGAGCTGACCAGGCAGGGTCAGGCCACAACCCTCTCCCAAATAAGTCCATCCTGATAAATGACAGTGTCCAGGACACGAGCAGCCTTCAGCCTGCATTCTAGCAGGTGCTCATGAGACGTCTTTGGACCCCACAGCCACAGAACACAGGAGCTGATGCTACCATGCAGAAGGGATTGGGAGAGGGGAGTCTAGGGGAGAGCAGAAGAGGGGGTATAGGCACCTCTCAGGGTCCGCAGCCGCCTCCTGGCCACCTTCAGGTGCTTGGTCCAGCCCATGTCCTCCCCAAGAAGATAGTACCAGCCACTGATGTCCTGTCATGAGAAGGAATGACACATTCAGAAAAGGGAGGTAGAGGGCTCTGGCCAAGCAGTCACCGACTTCCTTCAAAAAGCAGCAGCTGGGCACCATCCCTCAGAGGACAGACACGCCCCAGCCCCCCTGCCCAACACTGCCACATCTGCACCTCCAGGAATCCTTTCCTGATGCTCCGGACGAGACTTTCCTCCCCTCCACTGACTTCCACAGACTCTCATCCTTGGAAGACAATCATCAACTTCCTCTCCCTCCTGCAATCCCATTAGACTGTACACAGGCTCTCTGACATGGCTAGCATGGAACCTGGCATACAATAGAAGCCCAATAAATGCTGACAAAACAGAAGGGATGGAGTAAAAATGGGATGGAGAGGCCAAAAAGCAGGCTTCCTGTGGCTCCTGCAGTCTCTGTGGGAGCATCTTATCCTACAAGATAAGAGCAGTCACACCAAGAGGACCTCTGCAGCAGGCCACAGAAGACAGACACAGTGCTGTTATTTAGGCCACTGCCTCAATGGGGCATCATGTCACAGACAGATGCTCACCCAAGAATTCCTGGACCAAGGCCACCTGTACTAGTGTGGGCTAGGTGGGACAACACTCCAGAAGCTCCCCCGGGGCCTACCTTGCTGGGAGTCAGAAGGGACCTCACCCCAAAGCTCATGCAGCCGATGAGTGCACGCTGCCTGGGAGAAAAGCAGAGAGTCAGTGTTCCCCTTGGGGCTGTGCAGGAGCTTGACCAGCAAACATCCCAGTTGTCCCATGCACTGTGACTCTTCCATGTGCACCAGTTCCTCTGATCTTCCTGGTGAGCAGATAGGGAGTTCTCTCCAGTTTACAGAGGGAAACACAAGTCTCAGCCTGGTTCCTCAGCAAGGCCACAGGACTAGAGAGAAGTCAGGTCCCAGGGAGAGTGAGAGTCCTAGGCTTTGGTATGGCCCTCGCTCTACCAACCCCAGGAGCTCAGACAACTTCACAGATCTGAAGTGTCCCGATGCTGGGAAGATGGGGGAGAGCTGGTCCCCACAGGGGCTCTGGGCCCCCAACTCAGCCAGGGCTGGATGCTCAATCTAGAGGAGAGTTACTGGTTTTCAGCTCAAGAGCTTTGTCTTAGGACCACGTGGGGTGTGGGCAATTCCCAGATGGCCACAGACCAAGAGCCAAAGGTACCCAACACACAAAATTCTCCAAGACCCATCTGACCTCGCTGCCAGCAGGGCAAGCAGGTATGAGGCAGAGCCAGCCCTCAGGGGAGCATCAGGCTATGGTGAGGGGCTAAGTTCAACCTGGGTTTCTTGGCTCAGAGGAATTCAAAGTTCCTGAAGGACGTTCACCATGGAGCCTCAACATTCAACAATCAGGAACTGATTAATACTTGATAGTCTCTTAATAATGTGGCATAAATTAATATTAATGAAATGCAAAAAAAAAATCCCTTACATTTGTTGGAGAACAGGAAGTTTACAAAGTTGTGGGGGTTTTTTTGTTTTTTTGTTTTGTTTTGGTACCAGGGATTGAACTTGGGACTTTGACCTTGTAAGGCAGGCAGCAGAACCACTGAGCTAAATCCCCAGCCCTCAAAGTTGTAGTTTAATGTGAAAGAGACTCACACACACAAAAAAAACAATGGCTATATGTGCTTAGTGGAATTATTAGGGGTTTTTATTTTCTTCTTTGATTTTCACTGTTTTGAATTTTCATAGAGAACAAGCACTACTTTTGTAATCAGAAAATTAGCAGCCCCAAAACAAATTTAATTATTATTTATTGCAAACATATACTAATAAAAAAGAAAAAAGCGGTATTAATGTATCTTTAAGTACTTCAATTATAGCATATCCTGCTGTATCCTAACAGTAGAGTCTTTAGGGGATTTCCTCTCATGTTTGGTTTTTTCTCTCCTGTTCTCTTCCCTCTTAGTGCATATCCCAATTCAGACTCCTTTTTAGACCGATTTAATAATTGTTCATCAAAAAACACCATGGATATTTAGACTGGAGCCTAACCCTGGCAGGTGAATTCAGTATCTGAAGGGCCTGCATAGACCAAAGATTTGGCCTGTCCTGTGAGGCACAATATCATAGCCAAAGGTAGCCTAGGCTGCCCGCACAGGAAGCAAAGCCCTCAGTCAGGCCTCCCAGAAACCTGGACCACCAGAACCAGAGCCATAACCACAACATTATCATACTTACTAATTACACCATAAGGAACTAAACTATTTGAACATTCTGTTTAATGATATGATGAAAACCAAGTAGTGGAAGTTACTAGTATCAGCTACAGCATTTTCAGAACTTGTGGCCAGAGAACACTTTTGAAGAGAATTATAATGGTAAGTACCAAGTTAAAATATGCATATCTATACACATAGTTAAAGAACACAAACTTTTATGATTATTAAGCGTCCTTGCTGTGCTCTATAGGTGTGTAACCTCTCCTTTAACCCATTTTATAAACAAGAGTTCAAGTGGCAATACAGTGGTCTGAAGCTTGTGACCAGTGATGGGTACGGAGCATAAGAACAAAAGTGAATGGCAAAATATGTGCTCAATTTAAGCCATCAAATTGAAAATAAATTGAGTTTAAATTCTGTAACTCTATAATAAAAAACAGTTTAAGATCCCCGAGGAGAGAGAGAGAGAGAGAAAATTAAAATACTTTCCCTAAAAAATAACATTTTTGTTGTTGCTTTTTTAAGACAGGATCTTGCTGTGTAGAACAGGTGACCGAACACATGATCCTCCTGCCTCAGTATCCTAAGTGTTAAATAATGCATTTTCATCTTACAGAGGGTCCTTTGCCCTATACTAGAAAGTAAACAATACCATTCTCTCTGTGTGTTCCACTAAGTTACCTCTAAGCCTTTATCCTCGTTATTCCCTTAGCCTGAAATGCCCTTCCTTTCCTTCTCTCTGGCTCAACTCACTGGGCCTTTTGCCAGCCTCTCAGCCCCAAACTACCTCTTGCCTCCCGTGCCTTCAGAATGTGTTGCCTGCCCTGTTCATCTGTCAATCTCACCCTGTCTGTGACATGCCCTGTATTGCTGTCTTGAGCTGCTATTTAAATTCCTGCCTGTTTGTCTTGTTTCCTTAACACTGCAGTTCTTGCCCAGTGCCTGCCAATCATGGACATGATGGATTCACCCATTTGTCAAGGCTTCACGAGCTTGGGCCTTGGCAGTCAGAAGTAACTAAGGCTTGGTTCCAGACACTCTGCACCTAGGGAAATTTCAGGCCTCTCCAGGGTGAGCACTAGGTCCCAAGTTTAGAGGCTGACTGGATTATTGCCATATGCTCAGGCTGCTTATAAAAGAAGTCTTTCTTCCTCCAAAGGTTTTTCAAAATCAACCTTCAGAAGTAGCTAATTGAAGAACACTCAGGGAGAGGTTCCTGCTTGTGGACATTAATTGTGACGATTTACTCTGCCTGAACAATCATGAAATCATTGGAGGCCCCTTAGCAGGAAGCAAAGCTCAAGGGAGGCTATTAACCATTTAGCATTCTCTAAACACCAGGGAATGAAAACTCCACTTATTGAAGAGCCAGGAGAGGCAGCATTTATTACAGCTAATGCACTAGCCTGGAGATTTAGGAAGTTTCAGCCATAGCCAGCATGAAAGGAAAGTGCACTGCAAGGGAGTGTGGGCACCTAGGCCCCAGTTAGGGTTTTCTGGAGTGTGGTGTTGAAAAAACAAAAATCGCTAGGAGGATGTTGGCAAAGTCATGACAACAACTTAAGGGGCAGCTCAGATGAGTGTCCGCCACTTGTGATGATCACTGTGACTCCGGCTAGCGCTTTCTTGGCCACTTCCCAAGAGGGAGGAGTGTTTGTTTTTGCCAGTGGGCTGAGGAGATGGACAAGGAAAGGCTGCTTTATTGAGGTGACTGCATTTTCCTCCTTGAGTAGATTATTACTATGGCTTAGTGTGATGGGAAAGGGCAAGGATGAGGGGGAGTAGGCAGAGCCACGGCTGAGGGAGAGTGGAGTGTGAGCACTTGGTGGGAGATAGCTGGGCACAGAGGCCTCGACCCTTGGCTGTGGCTCAGAGCGTGATGGGCAGGCAGGGGACCAACTTGGAGGATCAATCCATCACACCCTGCATTCCCCCTCCTCACTTGGCTTGGGTGCCTGTGAGAAGCTGGTTTTGTTTTGCTTAGGTCTGTCAGGTAGTGAGTTGTCACCTTTTCTGGAGAATCCAAATAATAATGGACTTATAGAGACTTTCCAGACCTCTGGTCTTAGGATACTGAGGCAGGAGGATCATGTGTTTGGTCACCTGAGCTACACAGCAAGATCCTGTCTTTAAAAAGAAACAACAGAAATATGTTATTTTAATTTTTTTTCTCTCTCTCTCTCTCTCTCTCTGGTATCTTAAACTATTTTTTATTATTGGGTTACAGAATTTAAACTCAATTTATTTTTAATTTGATGGCTTAAATTGAGCACATATTTTGCCATTCACTTTTGTTCTTATGCTCAGTACCCATCACTGGTCACAAGCTTCAGACCACTGTATTGCCACTTGAACTCTTGTTTATAAAATGGGTTAAAGGAGAGGTTACACACCTATAGAGCACAGCAAGGACGCTTAATAATCATAAGAGTTTGTGTTCTTTAACTATGTGTATAGATATGCATATTTTAACTTGGTACATACCATTATAATTCTCTTCAAAAGTGTTCTCTGGCCACAAGTTCTGAAAATACTGCAGCTGATACTAGCAACTTCCACTTGGTTTTCACCATATCGTTAAACAGAATGTTCAAATAGTTTAGTTCCTTATGGTGTAATTAGTAAGTATGATAATGTTGTGGTTATGTCTTTTTTAAAGACATCCTTTAGAGATACACACTGATGAAATGAGATGATGTCTGGGATTTACTTGACAATAATCCGCTGGAGGAAGGAAAAGGGAGTGAGGCACAGATGAAATAAGATCAGCTGGATATTGGGAAGAGACACTGGGCTGAGGGTACAATGGCTTCTGCCTTTGCGTACATTTGAAAATATCTGTGATTTTTTAAAACTCACAGGATCTCAAAATTGAAACAAACCTTAGAGACCACTGCATCTTACAGGCAAGGAAACTGAGGCCCACAGAGCAGGGGTCTGGCCCATGGTCTCACAGCCAGGCAGAGCCAACCCACAGTCTCCAGCTCTGAGGCTTGGTTCTCCTCAGCAAGCACTGTGATTGATCAGCAGGATGCACTGAGATCATCTGGTCCATCGCCAGCACACCTTCATAGATCATCTTGTTTCTCTAATATGTGTTTACAGCCATCCCTGGGAGGACTGTGAGGAGGAGTCCCACACCAAATGCTTCCCTCTTATCTCCTACTGGTTTCAGAATGGGATCACCACACCTTTGACTGGTCAACTGATGTAAAACTGTACCACAAATGCTCAGAGAAGCAGCCCAAGGCCTGAGGAGCAAGCTACTAACACAGAGAGTGTGGCTTTGCAGTCACTAATCATCCACATGAGGCAGCAGTCAAGTTGCACTGTGATGTAATTGTCAGCACACAGGCATGGTGCCAGACTGCCTGGATTTGCAGCTTGTTTTCACTGCATCCCAGCTGTGTTACCTTGAGCACCTTACCTGACCTTTCTGTATCTGTTTCCTATTTTTTAAAAACGCAACAATAATAATGCCCAACTTGTATGGTGTTGTGAGGATTAAATCAGATGACGCATGGTAGGCACTTAGGCCTGAAGTCCACATAGCAAGTGCCTCATCAGTATGAACTGTTATAAATCCTCGAACCAGGTCCTGGGGTTCCACAGACCTCAGTTTCCTCTTCTCTGCAATGGGACAATAATAATTCTCCTCAGGGATGTTAATAAAATTCAGTGAGAAAATATATGAAAAGTCATGGCACAAAGAAGAGTTTGGTAAATGCTTGTTTCTGCCTTCCGCAATTGTCTTTCGTGTTGCTAAGTTGGATGTCTGCCTTCAGAGAAGCACAATTTGATTTGGGAGCATTCGACAGAGCTGAAATTTCCTGCCATCTCTCTGTGTCCTGTAGCTCAGAGGTCTTCTTATTCAGAATGGATCGATAGAGGAGAGAGTCTATGGAGAAGGCAGAGGCTGAGCCTGCCACCACAGTGCCTGCAGCCTCTCATGGCGATCTGCCTTGCAGCCAGGCCTGTCTGAGCCTGCCCTGTCCCCCTTGAGCTTGGGGCTGGGACTGTGACCACAAGTTTGGCTGTGTTTTATTTAATAAGGAATCTCACTTTCCCAAAATAGGCAACAAGTGGAGACACTGCCTTGGTCACGCTGCCTCTCTGGGGCTGACTCACTTTCCCTGGCCTCACTTTCTCTTCCAAAAAACGTGACCTGAGTTACTGGCTCCTTCTCCTGCAGCTCTGCCCTTGAGCTCCACTCTTGACAAAGGGCAGAGCCCCATGGAGGGCATGGCTCATCCTCATCTCTACCAAAGGAGCTTACTGGGTGTCTGTCTGCCTCTCTAACACTCCTCCAGTGCCTCCTTCAGGGCTTTCCCTGCATCTTCCCCACTCTTCAAAGACAGGCTTCTGACCCCTGATCTTTGATTCTCCGTTGCTCTTTCTGGGTGGTCTCACCTTCTCCAAATGCTACCCACTGCCTTCATGGTCATGGCTCCATACCTCCACCACCACACAGACCTCTCTCCCCAAGCCCAAGGTGATAAATACTCCCACCTTCAGCTCTCACCTCTGCTCTCCAAACACCCACATCTCACCGCATCCAAAGCTAACTCACATTTCTGCCTGGTACATTCTGTCTTCTTTGGGGACACTACCAGCTTCCCAAGGATTATCGTCTACCTCTCCCACTGCTCTCATGAGCAAATCACTGCTAAGCACTACTAATTTACTCTCCCAAATACACCCTGGTTCTGTTATCCTCTTCTTGATCTCTAAGTTATCTCTTTCTCCCCAATCTACCAAAGACCAACCAAAATCACAGATCTAGGATGTGATCTCCCAATCCTTCACCCAATACCCTTCATTATCTCCTCAATGGCCAGACAGCTTCTCAAACACCAAACTGGCTGCGTGAAGTTCACCTTTCAAACTTGTATAAATGCAGATTCCTAGGCCCTGCCCATAAATAGTTGGATTTAGTCAAATCGATACGGCGCTTAGAAACCTGAGTTCCTCACAAGCATTCCAGCTGATTCTGATGCATACCCAGGATTGAGAACCACTGGCCCTTAGGAGGAAACTCACTGACCAAAGAGAATCCCTGCACCATCCCATTCATTTTATGCCAACTCTTTGTCTCATCTGTAACCAATGTCTACTTGGCCCTGACCCTCCACTAACACCAGCAAGTCTGTAGGTAACTGCTCACCCTGCCCTTGCCCTGCCCTCTCTACTGGGCCTCTCTTCTGTCTTTTTGCTGTGCATCCATAGGGACATAAAGTGTTGAGGGTAAGGCCTCTAAGAACCACCTTGCTGGATTCCCCTCCTAGCTCTCACACTCCCCTGCCTGGCACTCCTCCCTGCTCCACACGACCTGCCATTATTGACAGCCACATCTGCCCTCCTGTGCTCTGCAAAATCAGCCTGCTTGTTTCCTCCTACACAAAATTTCTGCGTTCCTGCCTCCTTGCCTTTGCTCATGCTGTACCCTACATGGATACCCTTCCCAACCTTCTGTTTTATTCCTAATCTTTGCCCAAAGTCAAAATCCCCCTTGTCTCATGAAGCCCTCCTTCGTCATCTCACCCACAGTGAACTTTCCCTCTTCTCACACTTACTGTCCTTATTACTCATTTCATCCTTTAGTCATACAACCAATATTTCTATTTCTTAAACAACTCTGTGCTAGGCACTAGATACAGTGGTGACAAAAAGCAAAATAGGCTTATTTTACTTACAAGGTACTTCTCGTCCTATGGAATTGAGTGTGTGCATATTGTTCCTGTAATTTATCTCCACTCAGCACCTGGTACCCCTACCTGCAGTGGGAGCACTGGAAACCAAACCCACATGTAGGTTGCTTGGCACCCCCGGTGGCCAACACAGTGTCTTGCTTATACCAAGCATTCAGCAAATGCTCCTTGACAGCAGGGTTCTTGGCTTCACCTGGAGTGATGGTGACTCAGGGTTGTGGCAGCCTGTGCAATTCACCATTGTCACTACCCTTCATTTATCCAGCAGGCACTAACTGAGCCCGTGCTACACGCTGGCCCCCTGGCTGCCGTCGATAGCCCCAAGCAGGGGCTTGCCCCAGCTCAGCAGTTCTCCTCACCTGGTCTTACTGGCTCTGTTCCACACGGTAAGCAGAAGACGCTTCTGACCATCCTCCTCTGGCACAGGGCTGTGAAGCAAAACAGACAACCAGAGTGTTCAGAGGGCTGAGCTCTGGGCCAGATCCCTGGCATCAGTTGTGACTCCAAAACTTTGGAAATAACTTAAATAGGTGGATAAATAAACTGTAGTACAAATAGGATACACACTTAACATGTGTTACAGAGTTCAAATCATATTAAGGACAAAAAGGAGGTCACAACATACCTTTATGAAACAATGCAGACATACACACTCACACAAAGGAGAGGATCTATCCAGAACTGCAGCAAAGTATATCTGTCTGAGTAGCAGAGCCATGGGCGTCTCCTATTTTCACTGCTCATCTATATTATTAATTTTCAAGAAGAGACTACAAGCCCATGTCTTTCCCATAGTCCTCACAGCTCTCCAAGGTGGGTACTATTGTTAGGCCCATTTTATAAATGAAGAGGCTGAAAGAAGTCCGCAAGTTTAAATCTAAAGGAGGGGAGGGAGGCACAACATCCCTCTGCTTGAGAAGCTCCTGCTAAAGGTGAGAGCTTGGCCCCAGGCACAGTGGGAAACTGCCTACTCTTCAGGCTGGGGATTGTAGTATGAGAACCAGCCAAGCGATACCATATCATTGTGGACCTCACCACTGGGCCCAGGGCCAGGGATGCAAGGACACAAGGGAATGAGAAAACAAAGACATCCTTTAGAAGTCACTGTTTTTCTGCTTAGATCTAGTTCTAGATCTGGCAAACAGAGCTGCTTCCAGATAAACACTCCCTCCCTCTTCTCTCAAGGGTCCATGGCTCCAGACTCTTACAAGAAGAAGTGCTCATGGAAAGCTGGGTCTCTGCAGTCTGGTATGGTCTGCGTCTTCTGAGAATGTATTCGATTACTTTCAGGGATCAAAGAAATCTTGAAGAAAAAAGAAACATTAGCTGATCTCATAGCCACAGAACCACCTAAACCCAGCAGCTACCTCTGCACATCTCTGGGCTGAAGGCTTCCTAGTGTCCTTCAGACCAGCCTCTGCAAAAGACAGCGTTAGATCAGATGGAAAAGATGTTGGAAAAGAACAAAGAGCCCCGGGACAGAGGCATTGGAATCAGATACTAGGACAGGCCTCATGGTGGCTGCTACCAAGAAGGCAGTTATGAGCTCAACCAGAGATAGGGTACAACTGTCTCTGCTCTTTCTCCAAGCAGGGAAGCTTCCCTCAAAGCCAGAGGCCTCTTCTCTTCTAAGTTTCCAGCAGCTCTGAGCACTCCCTTCCCTAGAAATTTAGCCCCCAGCAAGGGCTAAGCTGGTGCTCTCCCTGAAATGCTGTTCTCCTGCCTCAGGAGCCCAGCCCTGTTCCTAATCAAGTCCTTCCCCAGGACCTTGAGCATCAGAGGGCTTCAGGAAGAATGACGGTGACTCTTAAAATGCAGCCCTAGGGACCTAGCATAGGGCCTAATAAATTCCGACTGACCCATTGAAGGAGGTAATAGCCATGACCTCAAGTGGCCCCCAACCCAAAGGTATGCTGGGACTTTGGGACTCTACCAGAAATATGGCCCCTCAAATACCAACCCTATCTCCAGCCCCATCATATACCTTCACATAGGGATCACAGACTCCGGGCTCTTTGCTCATCAGGCCTTTGGCTTCAATGACTGAAAGAAAATTAAAATGTTGGATGGTAACATACACAGACTTGTACTAATTAGAAGATCTTAAAAGAAATACAAGACACACTTGTGAGTAGAGGGGTGATGGCCCTTACTCCTGGGCCCTAGTCTGTATAACAAGTATCAGATAATATTAAGCCCTCTATGGTCTAGTCCATCGCCTCCATTGCCCATGCTCTGGCAGCTCCTCAACATGGCATTATAGCGTGCATTCCATTTTCTGAATCTTACAACTGGAAAGGAGCTTTAAATGTATGGAGTCCACCACCTTATTGAAGGGGGAAAATGAGACTGCAAGGTGGACCCAAAGAAGTAAGAAATTTGCCCCAAATCTCAGCAATGAGAATGAGAGTTGTATTTAGAGCTCATGTCTCTTGACTGCCAGTCCAGGCTATTCTATGTACAAGGCTGCCTTCTGGGAACAGGGGGCGGGGTGGGGGGTCAAGCTGGAGAACATGGCCTGCATGGTGATCTGGGAGTGTGGTGACAGTATAGCACCGTAGTCGCAGCTTGGGTTCCAGAGGCAGGCAGACCTTGGCGTGAGTCCCAGCAGGACCACTTACTAACCATATGAGCCAGAGCAAGTTGCTTTGCCATTTTTCCTTGGGTTACTGATAATAATTGCACTTCGAATGATAGTTGTACCCTTTAAATGTATCTAAAGTGCTCAGTAGAATGTCTGACAAAATAAGTTAGTGCTCCACAAATGCTTGCTAAAGGATAAATAAAGGCAAGGGACAGGTGTGGGGTGAGTGTGGGTCTGGTCATGCACGAAAGAATGGCCCATTTGCCTGAGGACCACAGAAATCAGAGCCTCTTTCTGTTTCCTTTTGCATTTGGTTTTGATTGAGCCCTAGGGTTTGGCTTGAACACAGCCCCCAGCAGCCTGGAGCATGAGGCATGGCAAGCCAAAGGAAGGAGCGGGACAGGCTGGAAGAGATGAAGGGCCTGAGACTGGGGTAAAGCCAAAGCAAACTGTGCAGGACAAATGGAGTGGTGGAGGCCAAGATGCATTCTGCAAAAAATGTTTGCACAGCTGGAGTCGGATGCTGGCAGGCAAAGAGAACCTCTGTTCTGGTCCTTGGGAACTTCACCTTGGGCCCCTCTAGGCCAGGACCAAGGGACCCCGGGCGCCTGCTGGCTCACTCTCCCCTGTATCCTAGTTACTGCTCCTGTGTGGATCTGTCCCCTGGAGGGCATGGTTCTCGAGAGCAGGATCCCAGCCTAATGACTCCTGGTCTCCCTGGGTACCAATGACAGTGAGGCAGACCTGCCCCTTACCCCAGCTGCACCCCACACTGGGGTGCACAGACCAGACCCAGGGTAAAGCACAGTGTATCCAGGCTGTGATGAGGAGGAAGCAACAAACTCAGCCAGGGAAGGTAGGTCGGGGAGGGGCGACTCCTGGAGGGGAAAATAATAAGCAAAACGAGCCTTCCTTCCTGAGTCTTAATTAAGGATGATTAAGACAGGAACACTTCTAGCAAAAGCAGAGGAACAGAGAGGTATTTTCCAAAAGGAGTTTAATGAAACAATGTTGTTCCAGACACCAGTGAGATCAAAGGTGCAGAGGCATGGCCCAGCATGGTGCATTCACAGGGTGCAAGTAGCTGGAGGGAGGAGAGGGTGAAGGGTACCTTGAACAGCAAGAGCCAGGTAGGCTGAAGAGCCAGGCAGGCCTTGTGGACCATACAGAAGGATGCAGGCAATGGGGGCCACAGCAGAAACTTGGTAACTATTTATGTGCTGGATGAAAGGAAGAAGAAATGGATGGATAAAGCATCCATGCTGTGCCCCAGTCATCCTGGACAGCTCTTCAAAGCTATCATGCCCTCTCTGGACCCTGGGCCTTTGCACTTGCTGCTCCCTCTGCATGAAGCACCCAGAACAGCTCTCCTGCTCCCTTCTGCCTGGCACAAGCCTATTCCTCCTTCAGGGTGGAATGTGGACATTACTAACTTTCCCAAGACCTCTTTAGGATCCTACCAGCACAACCTAGACAAAGCTAAGTGCTTTTCCTTGATGTCCCCAGACCCTAGCACACAGTCAATGCTCAATCACTATTTTTGGAATTTATGGCTTTCTAGTTTGCTTAGCAGGCACTTATACAGGGATTACTATGTGTTAGGTTCTATTTCAAGCACTCTACCAATATTAACTCTTTTAACCCTTGTAGCAATCCATAAGATAGCTACTATTAGCACCACCACTACTGCCACTTGACATTTGGGAAAACTGAGTTTTGTTCAAGGACACTCAGCAAGTAAATTGTCCGAGTCAGCATGCGGATCCTAGTGGTCTAGTTCCAAAGACTGTGACTTTAACCATGCACTGCCCATCAGTGAAGGAATGAGAAAAGAGGGAGGAGGGGAATGGATGGAAGAAAGCAGCGAGGGAGAATAGGAAGGCTCTTCTGTGGACCTGCTTTACTGAAGTCAAGGGTGATATCGAAGCCTACCAAGGACAAAAGCCAACCACGTGGAGTCCAGACACAGAGGCCCCAGGACTGGGGCTGGGTCCATAGAAAGAGCCCCAAAGGATAGCCACTGTTGTCAGTGAACACACAGCAGGACACTGTACAAAGATGAGAAAAGAGACCATGGCCATGGTGACACGACCCCTTCCCTGGCTCCAGGAAGGAGGCAAGTGGCCTGCCCCTTCCTTGAGGGGGCTGCACATGGCCATACTCACTGTGGAGCAGCAGGACCCGGTCCTGGGCATCAATCGACAGCTTCAGCTGACCTAAGGAAACAAGGAGGGAAATTACTTCAGCCCAGCTCCTTGTGGGAGAACACTGGAGGAATGGTGACAGGGTCTCGCTACATCGTTCAGGCTGGCCTTGAACTCACTGTGGAGCCCAGGTTGGTCTCAAACTCATGGTGATCCTCCTGCCTCAGCTTCCCAAGTCCTGAGGTTATAGGCGTGCCCCACCACACCCAGCCACAGTCTCTGGTTGGAAGGGACCTCAGAAGCCTCTCCTCCACAGCAGGGGTCCCTTGGGAAATGCCCTCAGCACAGTTCTCTAATCTAGTTGGTGCCAGTGTGGTGATGGGGAGCTCACTCCTGCACCAGGCAGCCCAGTCAGACAGGGCCCGAGAGCTCTCTCGGAGAGGGGCTGTTGTCAGCGTTGGTGAAGGTGTAGGACAGCAGCACTCGCACACCCTGCTGGAGGGAGAGGGAGGGGCAGGGCAGGATAATTTCTGGCAATATCAACTGGAACTCAGACTTCTGTCTCCATCAACCTAGAAGTCTTCATTCTGGGTCACTCTCAGAGATAGACGCTCACCGAGGGTACACGGAGGCTGGCACCACTTCAGGGCAGAAAATCGGAAACATCAAATAAGGGCCTGAAATACCCACCGATATAAACATGGTGAAATAAACCACCCAGAGCTGTGGTATGGCATGGGTTGGCTCCACTTGACCCAGCATGGGAATAACATTGAGGAGTTTTTTAAAGGGACAACCAAACAGCAGAACAATAAATATGTGCACATATGCACATGTGTGTGCTCGTGTGTGCTTGCGTGCATGCGTGCGTGTGGGTGTGTGTGCATGTTCTGAAAGGACATCAAATTAAAAACAGTGATTGCCTGTAGGAAAGAAACTGGGAATTTAAAAGAAGTTGTCAAGAGAAATTCCAATCTGTTGCTGTTCTTGTTATATTGTTTGGGGTTTTTTTGTAGTTATTGCTTTTTGTTTCTGTGGTAGTGGGGGTTGATCACAGGGCATTCTGGGGCACACCTCTCCAGCCCTTTTTGTTTTTTATTTTGACACAAGGTCTCACTTAGTTGCCCAGGCTGTCTTCAAACTTTCCATCCTCCTGCCTCAGCCTCCTGAGTAGCTGAGATTACAGGCATGTACCACTATGCCCAGTTCTTACTGTTTTAACAATATACATATATTTATGAACTATGCATTTCTATAATCAAAATAAAGAAAAATAAAACAAAGGAAGAAGAAGAAGAAAGGAACAGAGGAAGAGAAAGAAAGAAAGGAAGGAAAGAGGGGAATGAGAGAACAGGAAGAGAGGAAGGGAAAATGTGAAGATAAAGAGAAGCAGCAAGCCTGGAAAGCAGGTGAATAATGGAGGGCTAGGCAAGGGTTTTTTGTCCCTGTTTTTATTTAAAGAAAAGGAAAACAAAACAAGACTTCAGACCGTACCCATGGACACCCAAGGCCTCCAGCAGTGACAGAGAAGAGGGAAGCCACGCTCTTTTTCCTTACTGACATATCAAAAATTACCTCAGGGCTGTGGGTGTAGCTCAATGAAAACAGTTGCCTAGCGTGCACAAGGCCCTGGGGTCCATCCCCAGGGAAAATTCCTCTCTGTCCAACAGACTCTGCCTGGAACCTCGAGAGGCTACTGAACTCCATCCACCCAGAGGCACATGCAGGGAAGGCCAGGGAAGCAGGCCGGACACTTGCACCTGCTCAGCTGTGACAACCCTGCCTCATAGTCACCTCCCTCAGCCGTTACCTCCAGGAAGGAGTGGAAGCCCTTTCTCTTTTGCAATTTCTAGTTATTCAATGCTCTATCTTACTTGAAACCAAAAAGGGACGCTTGGTGACTTTCATTGACCAGATGGGGTTCTGCCAGCTCTCGGCTCTCTCTTCTAGATCTGAAATCCGAAGTCCTTCTGCCATTCATCACCCTAATTGCTCACTGGACTGCTGGCTGAGGTTTCTGCTTTGCTGCTGGCTGGAGCAAGGATGGGCAGGGTTTGAAGAATGAAAAGAAGGGAAGCTCCATGTCTCAATACTCTGCATGAGTCCCCCAAACACTGTGACCTGGTAATCCCTTCATCCTCGCACTGTGAGTATAAGCCACACACAGTCAGAAGCAATTCGGAGTCCAGCAAACCCTGGCCCAGCTCTAACCCACCAGAATCCCTGCTGCTCTCCAGGCCAGGATGCAGGTCTCAGCCCAGGAGGCCTGTTCCAGTTCCAGCCCTCACTGCTCTCCTCTCTCTCTCAGGACCACAGCATCCTCGGCTGCAGGGTAGAGCTAATGATAGGATTACTGTACTCCCCACGATGGGCTCAGATAATGCTGGAGGGTCAGGAGGTTCCCCAGTGAAAGGCTCTTTGAGAATCCATAGCATTATTATCTCAAGGTCTGAGCAATTACCACTTTGGGACTCCCTACAGCTAAGACACCTCCTGTATAAACTGCCTGCTCCAGAATAGGGTAGAAGGGAGGTTTGGAAACAGACAAGGCCAGCAGTCACGGATCGGATCTCACCAACCCAACCATGCTATGTTTAGCACGAAGTGTTTTTTTTTTTTTCTGAAACTACTACAAGTGCAAAGCCAGCTTTGGCCCAAACATGGTTGGATTTCTAAAGCCCTGGAAGCCCTGCACTGCACAACACCTATCACCTAACAATGGCCCCTCACAGAAATCGGCAAGTTTCCCAACACAAATGGCTAATAATCCCCTTTGGGAGACGCTTCAAGGCACCTGCATGAGGCCGAGTGAGGGAGAGTGGATCTGAACACCCAGACACCTGTCCTCAGGGGGTTCCCAGCCCAGTAGCTCGGACAGGGATGTGCAAGGCTGAGGCTGGAGCTGAAGAGGAGAGTATGAAGCCTGACTTGGAATTCAGGAGTCTGCAAGCTCCCGAAGCTCCTTGGAGCTTCCCCAGCAGCCGCACCAAGCAGGGTCTCCTCAGCGAGCGCCTGGAGCTCTTCTGCTGTTACAGCAAAGACCAAGCCCTGCAGATCAATTTCCAGTCTCCCCAGCTTAGCCCTAGGCTCATGGATGAGGGTAAAATGAACAATGAGATCCTTCCCTGGGCCGTGGCTGTCCCCTCGGACTTCCCCATCTGTCCATCCCATCAAATGCATGATACTCAAGGTCCCTTAGGTCATCTTTCCCAACTCCTTATTTGGTAGCCAGAACAGTCACGCTTGAGATGGAAGCTGACTTGCTCTGGGCCCACAGTGTTCAGTAGTCTCAGAACCAGGATTGGAGGCCAGAACTTGGTCCCAATCCCAGCACTCTTTCCTGCCCCTCAGCCTTCCAGAATCCACCGCCCTCTAACGGGCATGCCCTCTGATGAGCTCCACCCTTCAAGGGCCAATGCAGCCCTCAGGTTCAGGAGCAGAGAGAAGCCAAGAGGGAGCCAGAGAGGGCAGGGTCCAATAAATGTCTCCAAGTCTAGGGGAATAAAGCCCCAGGAGAAGTCAGGCTGACTCCCTGGAATCCCTGGAATGCACCAAGAAGCCAAAGGGAGAGCACGCTGGAAGAGAGTGAGCTTAGTCTTAGTTACTTTTCTTGTTACTAGGACAAAATACCCAATACCCACAATTTAAAGGAGGAGAGGTTTATTTGGGCTCACAGTTTGTAAAGGTTTCAGTCTAAAGTCAGCCGGCTCCAAGGCAGAGAGCAGCATGGCAGAGGAGAAACAGCTCATGGTGTGGCAGCAGGAAGCACAGAACAATCAAGGGAGGAGGAAGGGAGACGCCAGCTTCCAGGCCCCCGCTCCAGTGACCCACTCCTCTAACCAGGCTTCACCTCCCAAGTCATCAGGGGACATCTAGATATAAACAGTAACAGGCCCAAATTCTGCCAGGCCACAGGCCTGAGCTGGGTGTGGACTCACTGGGCACAGTGCAAAGGGTATGGGAGTGGGCTGAAGAATTTCAATCTGGCAGATGTTTCTCAGTAGAGGACCACAGAAAGGTGAAGTCTGATTCTCATGACACAGGAGAGGCACACTCAGAAAACAAAGCAAGATGCGGGCTGCTCCTTACTGTGTCCCTTAGGGGGCCCATGACATTCTGGGGTATGCAGAGAATACATCTAGAGAGATTTGCCTGGCTCATGTAAAACAGCAATCACCCTAAAACCCAATTCACTCCAAAAGCAGCTGCCCATTTAAGAACTGTTCCATGTTAAAAGCCACAGGAAGGGAAATGATACAAGGATAGAGGCACAGAGGGGGTGGGATCTACAGGGAGTCCGGCCAGTCACTGACATTCACATATTCACCCGCAATTTGTGAAGACCACCTGTACCCATGCCTTGCATGCAGGAGGAGAGCAGGAGGAGCTGCTGCTAAACACCTACCTACCCTGGTTCTCAGCCACCTGGTCCACACAGCTGCCCTGGTCCAGGCTCAGATTCAAGTTTACCAGCTCTACTCTCTGCCTTCTAAGAGAGAAGCAGTAGGCTTCTGTGTCGGGGAACTGGAAGCCACGCAGCTCTTGGGACAGAGCTCTGGAGAATTTCAAGCATCTGTTGTGTAGAAAAGGGATGATCTTGAGATCCATGTAGAGAGATGACTCTGGCTTGTGATGGTGCCCACAGACGGAGACTCAAAGAGTCCAAGGGAACAAGGGCCGCCATGCTGGGGAAAAATGGTAGTGGAGCCACTTAACCCCCTTTGCTGGACACAGGGCTTCCTGTGGAACCTGTATGCTTCCCAAGCTAATTTCCTTCCAGAAAGATTGCTCTGGCCAGCAGAAGTTTTCTGGTCTACTCAGCATAAACTAATAAATTAGCATTCAGGTCTCCTTCCTGGGCAAGCCAGGAAATTAAAAATTTCTGAATCTACCACAGTCAGCATCTGACCTTGGCTGGTCCACAATGCCATCAAAGCTAGCAGTCCTGTGGGGCTCGGACCCAAACATCATAAGGGCCTCATGCTCCTCCCACCCTAGGGCCCAGGGCTGCAGCAAACTACGGGGCTGGGCACAAGCACGGGGAGAAGAAAGGCAACATTTGTTAGATGTTT